ATTGGCAACACCCATTATTTGATGAGCCGAGCAATTCAAAATTTAGTGAAACTGTAGGAAACACCCATTATCCATCCAATTCTAAATACGCTGTGCTTAACCATGGTCCCGTCTTTAGTGGGGATTAAACTGTATTCTCTATTGTGCCAAAATAGCCCTTGTATGCAAATCACTAATATTTTTATGCTTAGCATATGTAAACATTGTTTTTTAAATCCGTTAACACGTTTTATCATCTTTTAACATCAGGTTGAATACCTAACACCAGGCATTCAAAAGTTGTGGATAAGGCTTAAGTTTTTTGTTAAAAAGTTTAAGGTTTAACACAACGGTACTCAATTGTCACAACAAATACAGTTACAAAACATAAAAAGCTATAACTCTTGTACCAAGTTAAAGATTTTCAAAGGTAGGCCACACTCCAAGGTCATATGGGTAAAATAAATAGGTCTTGTCGAATTAAATATATAAGATTTGGAGATAATGAACAGTATTCAAACTTAAAACTCAAAAGAATATGACTGATAAATATGAAAATCTTTTTTCTAACCCTTCAAATTGTACATCCAAGGTTAATTTCAATAATACAAAACTCCAAAGTCAATAAGTCAAGAATATTTTACACATTAAGAAAATTTCTATCATAAAAAATGTACACGTGGACAATAAAACCCTAGCATAAATCATTTATGAGTAAGTCCAGATTTAAAATTTGGAATTTTTTTTTTACAAAAGTAGGACAAATTCCGAGGTCGTTCAAGGGGTCATATATGATCAAAACCCGGTGAAAGGTTTTGAAACATGTCTTTTCATGTAAGAAATGAAAGCCATGGCTCCAACCAATCGAACGTAATTTGCAGGGTTTAATTTGTTTGCAGGCAAACAAAAACACACAGAAAGGTAGACAGGAGAAAAATCTAAATACCCCTTAAATTTTATTAAAGGGGCATATCACCGCTCAAATGTTAAAAAATATATCAACTGAAGTAAAGTTTATTACCGGAAATTAATTTTATAACAAAGTCGATAATATTCTTTGTGTGCAGCTATTTACAAATCAAAACATTGTGCTCATCTTTAGTTAAATTCTTAAGAAAGTATATAAAATTTTATGGCAAAAATAAGATAGTTTAATTGTTTTTGAAAGAGCGATATATGGTTAGTGTCTCAATTGGCCCCTTAAAATGAATATCAAAATTTTACTTTATATATAGCTTTAACTTGTACAGCTATATATGTGACCTTTATTGGTCATTCTTATTTTGATCAAAATGCCTTTATTTTAGAAATATGACATCATAAAAATGTTGTTTTCCATCTCTTTTAGTATAATTTGTATAAAACTGCCTATTTCAAGCAGTTTTTCTTCCAGAAAATAAAAAGCGCAGCCAAGAACAAGCTCTATATTTTTACCAAAGATGTATCTCTCCAATACTGATAAGTGAGAGAAAAATTATATATGTTCTTCACTGCGCTCTATGTTTCCCATAAGAAAAAACATCAAGAAAAAAGCATATTTTTGGGCTATTTTGTTAGATAGGAAAAGTAGCTTTATTTCTCATGTCATTTACAGCTAGAGAGTGCATATAAATGTTAAAAATATATTTGAAATATTTCTAATATAATCTCTTCTTTAAAATAAAAATCAATTAAACATATCTGAATGTCATTCTAAAATGTTGATTTTTAGGGGGCCAAAATTGGCTCTTAACATATATACTCCTTTGATAGATAAAATTAAACTATTAAAGATTCTATATATTTTGTTGATTACTTTTTGATCAGTATTCCAATTTAAACATGCCCGAAAACGGGTCAGGAGACTGATAAGGGAACTAGGAAGTGATATTGTTGTCCGGGAACTATGATGTTAGATTTACAGGTGGGATTTTGTTCTTACCTAGTCATAAAGTATTATTTATGCTTTTAATCATGCAAATTAGAAATTCATTGTTTTAATTATAATCTTATACAATACTGTACCAATTTTCAGTCACGAGATGCACAATAAGGACTTATATTGAAAATTTGTGAATACAGTATATAAGAATTCATTCTTTATTCGTTGCTAATCTGAAACTTTAGATATTTGAAAGTTAAATAGGGATGCAGAATATACAGTCACAATGTTACACGATCTGGACAATTGCAAATTAAAGATTTTGTAAATGACAATTTCGCTCTATGAGATTAGGTCATATGAGTTTCTGAAAAATTTTTCTTATTATAAAAATATTGATGTAATTAAAATTAATGGTAATGATATTTTTTTTTAAGTTTCAGATCTATCTTCCATAAATACATTTGTTTAAAGTTTTTTTTTTCTAGAAATCACAATAATAGAATCTTAAGTATTATAAGTTTGAAATTAAATGGTCTCTTTTACCTCTCCTCTATGGCACCTGATCCCACTTCTGATGTTTCGGAGGTCCGTGTTTGTCCCGCTCCTATTTTGTATTGTTTTATTGACTCTGAGATTGAATTCTGTCCTTTATCTCCATATTCTTCTCATACGTAAGGATGATGCTATCCGTTGGATAAATCTATGTTTTATTCACAGATAAATGCTTTCTTCTTTAGCACATTATTGATTTTGGTGTTTCAATACTTTTAACAAATTTCCAGGTGCAAGAATTTGAAACGTCTTATTCATGTTATTTGGGCATGAACTCTGTAGGCCGGAGCATGGCGAATAGTATTTTTTTAGATTAATCACTAGCATTCTTACGTATTATCTGAACAACGAGGTACAGAATAAAAATAGTATATATATACATGATACTCTTTTTAGGAACTTATTATCTCTAGAACAAAGGCTTCTAGTTTCATTGCTAGATGTCGTATAATTACTTATTATGTCATTTCAAATAGATTTTAAATTATATTATCTAATAGAGGAGTCTTGTTAATGTGCATTGAGGATAGAATGAGGATAAATGGAGAATTCTATCCCTAAAATGATACTTCATTGCGATCCAATTTAACGATATAATTTGAACAAAATAAGAAAATATTGAACAGAATAAATACTTTGAGAGATTCAAATGTAACACCATGGAGGCTAATCATGTTCATTATTATACTGACACCCAACCCTCTACCAAATCTGTGAAATATATACCCGTCTGCAGGGGCCTATGGTTCTATCTCGGGGAAAAGGGCTAAGGTTATTGAACATCGATAGAATATTACTGATTAATGTTTTACTTAGTGGCATGCATTTATATAATAATGAGCAACAAACAATCAACAATGACTGGAGAAAACGTGACAGCAATGTCCAGGCGTTTGTTTTCAAGGGATGAGAACAATGTCTGTCAGATAATGAAAAATTATTATACAACTATAAAGTCTTTATTTTCTAGAAGACAAACTGCAATATATATAAGGTATACATTTTTCACCAAGTTGTAATAGACTTTATTTTTTAAAGTGAAATAAAGCCAAATCAACTGTAGCCTGAGAAATGCATAACATATTGGGATTGTCAAAAGTCATGAAGCTTTTTTTTATCAGGAATAATGATTATAGGTTTTAAAGCTGTTTTGTATCAATGAAGAGGAAATTTGAGCAAACGAGTTCATCTTTTGGAACTTTGTCAAATAATTCATATGAAGTTTTAAATTTAATTAATTGCTTCCTTAGTATTAATCGCCTTTTTTTAGACAGTAAAACAAAATTTTAAAAAATCATCTGAATTTATAGGTAACTTAAAACCAAATTCCTTTTTCATCCTATAATTCCATCATAAAGATTTCAAAAAAAGTAAATGGAGATAGCGAACAGAATTCAAACTCAAAAGTCCATCAAAATATGCCTGAAAATATGAAATTCTCTTTCTAACTGTTAAAAACTTACATACAATGTTATTTTTTAAATGGGAAAAAACTCCAAAGTCAACAGGTCAAGAATATTTTACACATTAAAAAATGTAATAGCACAAATCGTTAATTAGTACGTCCAAGTTTAACACTCAGTACATTTATTTTTACAATAGTAGGGAAAACTCCAAGGTCATTCAAGAGGTCATATATATGTTGGTAACCAATTGAAAGGTTTTGCCACGGGTTATTTCAAATGACATATGAAAGCCATAGCTCCCACCAATCGAGTGTTATGGGCAAGGTAAAATCTGTTTTCAGACAAACAAGCAGAAAACAGACAGGCAGATATACAGGAGAAAATATATATGCCCCTTAAACTTCGATAACGGGGACATAAAAACACTCATAAGATGTTTACTGATTAATTGAAGATAAGTGCCCAAATTTAATGTTATTACGTCGTCGGTAATATTGTTGATATGCAGCTATACAGACAAATCTATACATTGTCCTCATCTTTAGTAAATATCTTTAAAAGTATTTAAAATTTTATAATCAGATTAAATTCTAAGGCAAAAATCAAATCAGATAGGGTACACGTATATGTTTGTGAAATTTAGCAGATAATTTTTTTCGTTAAAGATTTTATAGCAGTTGATATGAACGGAAAGGTGGTCAGGACAGATAAGGGAACTAGGAAGTGATATTGTTGTCCAGGAGCCATGATGTAAGATTTACAGCTTATCACTTTGTTTTTAAGAATTATTTGAATTTCTGAAAATGCAAAAGAGAAAATCGTTGATTCCATGAATGACTTAAAATGCTACAGATAGGTTGGAATTCAATGATTGCTTCACTGAACCTTTAATGGTTAGAACATTAATTTATAATTTGATGTTAGGTCATAGATGTGTCTAAAAATTCATGTTGCAGTAAAATAATCTTTATGTAATTCAAAATGTATTGAATGTCCTTTTTAAATCACATATTTAATTTCCGGAAAAAAATTCAAAACTTCTATATGTCTGTAAATTACAATGTTATTTTCTCTCGAATCTTCTAAAATTTTTATAAGAGGTATTATCTCGTCTCCCTTAAATCATGTATATGTATTTCTCATATTAAATTGCAGTATCACCTGATCATGTGACCAAAACATCAGCAAAACAAAGAGATATGGACCCCCGGTATAGTGGTCAGGATATCCTAAGGTGTGACCTTTGTGTGACCAATGTGGTACAAAGTCACTGTGAGCTTTGTCATATTAACCTGTGTAAGACCTGTGTAGGAGAACATCTTTCGGATTCAACTAGAACCCATAGAGTCGTACCATATACAGAAAGATTTTTAGCTCAAAAAAGTCCAAAATGTCCAAACCACACCCAGAAACACTGTGAACTTCACTGTGAGCAATGTGACATTCCTGTCTGCTCTACCTGTATCTCCTCAGGTAATCATAAAGGACATCATTTATCTGATGTTTTACAAAACATCAGCTCCAAAACAAAAGACATCGAAAAAGAATTGAAAGAACTGGAGACTAAAATTTATCCAAAATATGAAGAAATTGCCTCTAGTCTAAAAACCAAAACTGACGATTTAGAAATTCACTACAATAAATTGACAACAGCTGTCACCAAACAAGGAGAAGACTGGCACAGAGAAATTAACATCATTGTCAACAAACGAAAATCTGAAATTGATGAGATGAAATCTAAACACCTGGCTGCTCTAAATAAACAGAAAGAAAAGGTCACAAAAATTACTGCAGAAATAAAACAGAGCATTATTGATCTGAAGAATATTCTAGACTCGAGTAACATATCCTTAGTCTCTGTTTACAAATCTAGAAATGAAGGGTTCAGATATTTACCCCCTGACCATAACGTGTCATTACCAAGTTTCTTTCCTCATCAGATTAACACAGATCAACTCCGTCAAATGTTTGGGTTTCTGTCCGCATTATCCATTACAACAGAGGAACGGAGCTACAGAATGGAAACACCAGAATCTGTATCCTGTCCTCCGGTCAAACTATTAGTTGATGAACCAAGGCTCATAATCACCATAGACACCGGGTATAAAAACATATGCAGTGTTACCTGTCTCACTGATGAAGAAATCTGGACATGTGGAGATGACAAAATCATGAAACTCATTGACCTCCGGGGAAAACTAACAAAGTCTATCAAAACCAAATCAGGTAACAGGCCACAAGACATAGCAGTGACAAGGAATGGATATCTAGTTTATACTGACCATGAAAAAAGAACTGTCAATATGATGAAGAATAAACAGATACAAGAAATTATCAAACTACAGGGATGGAGATCTTGTAACGTCTTTAGTACCTCCTCTGGTGACCTCCTGGTTACCATGATCCATGAAGATAATAAACAATCAAAGGTTGTCCGTTACTCTGGCTCCAAGGAAAAACAAACCATTCAGTTTGATAGTGAAGGCAAACCTCTGTATTCATCTGGCGGCCTTAAATACATTAGTGAGAATAGGAACCTGGATATCTGTGTGGCTGACGATGCAGGTCATGCAGTGGTCGTGGTAAATCAGGCAGGGGAGCTCAGATTTAGGTACACCGGACGCTTCTCTACTTCAAAGGATTCATTTGATCCAGTCGGCATCACAACAGACAGCCAGAGTCGGATCCTGACAGCAGACTGTGTCAACCACTGCATCCACATCATGAATCAGGTCGGACAGTTCCTGCATTACATATATAACTGCCATCTTCGTCATCCATATGGTTTATGTGTAGACGCCAGTGACAACCTCTATGTAGCTGAATGGAACGGTGGTAAAGTGAAGAAAATCAAATACATGTAAAAATGTTAACATTCTATTGTGTCAAGAAAGGATTGTGATTCAGAAACATGTTATATTTATGAACAGTTAAGCCTCTCGAGTATACCTAATTAAAGTTCAATTACATACAATTTGCTGAAAACACGGACACCATGCAGTCTGATTTTACTGTAAAGGGGATTAATTTCACGGGTTATAATTTTCACGTTTTACTCTTCTCTGAATCTGTGATCCTGCTTAAGGAAAAAGAAGAGCATGCGTGGATCTAAAGGTGGGGGGCTCGAAGGAAACGCTTTAAGAAAGGCAATCGGACCATGGGGAATAACAGAATAAAATTTCACTGCTGAAGCTTAAAAGCTTCTTGAAATGAAACTTTCACAGAAACCCACAGAATGTATAAATTAACGATCTTGGCCTATATATAGCTCATAATAAATTGGGGTTTCTCACAGCATATTCATGTATAGGATTTAAACCGCAAATGCTCTCAAAAGCATCCCGAAATATCGCACGGAAACCAACGTGTTAAAACAGACAGAATTTATTTTAGGACCTCAAAATCTATAGACGTTTTCCTTACGCGATAGAGAGTTGCTGTGTAAAATTTCATATAAAAAAACGAAAGTGTTACGGACAGACAGAAATACAGCTTGGCGGACAGGTAAACAAAGGGACGGATGGACAGCTATTATGCAATATCCCCTACTTTGTAAATGCGGGGGGGGGGGGTGTCACGACAGGTATTTTGATTCTTATTTGATGTTATATGTAATTATATTACAATTTTATTTAATAGTTTTACATTGTTTTCATTGAATTGTGTATTATTGCTTTAAAAAGTTAAAAAATAAGATATATAGTAAGATTTAGTTTCAAGAAGAATTCGAATTCATTCAATTTACTAAAACAGCTGTATAAGTTTTATCCAACAATTTGCCAACAAAAAGAAGCCCAATGCCAATAAACAGACATATACATGTAAATATCGATAGAGCCTCACATTGAGGAAGTCAGTAACCATGCCGTTGGCTTACAAAATTTCCTACACTGCCCAAGAATTTAACATGCCACGTTGCATATTCAACCACCAGTAACTGTACATGTATATAACTTACCCTCTTAGATCTAGAGAATTTGGCACTATTGTATAACTTATACTCTTATTAAATCTGGAGAATTTGACACTTCTATATTACTAACCTCTTAGATCTGGAGAATTTGACACTATTGTATAACTTATCCTCTTAGATCTAGAGAATTTGGCACTACTCTATATCTTACCCTCTTATATCTAGTCAATTTATCTCTATTGTATAACTAATCCTCTTAGATCTGGAGAATTTAACACTACTGTATAGCTTACCTCTTAGATCTGGAGAATTTGACACTTCTATATTACTAACCTCTTAGATCTGGAGAATTTGACACTATTGTATAACTTATCCTCTTAGATCTAGAGAATTTGGCACCACTCTATATCTTACCCTCTTATATCTAGTCAATTTATCTCTATTGTATAACTTACCCTCTTACATCTGGAGAATTTGACACTACTGTATAACTTACCCTCTTACAAATGTACATCTGAAGAATTTGACACTCCTGTATAGCTTACCTTCTTACATCTAGAGAATTTGACACTATTGTATAACTTATCCTCTTAGATCTAGAGAATTTGGCACTTCTTTATAACTTACCCTCTTAGATCTAGTCAATTTGGCACTACTGTATAACTTATCCTCTTACATCTGGAGAATTTGACACTACTGTATAACTTACCCTCTTACATCTGGAGAATTTGACACGACTGTATAACTAACCCTCTTACATCTGGAGAATTTGACACTACTATATAGCTTACCCTCTTAGATCTAGAGAATTTGACACTACTGTATAACTTATCCTCTTAGATCTGGAGAATTTGACACTTCTGTATAACTTATCCTCTTAGATTTGGAGAATTTGACACTACTGTATAACTAACCCTCTTACATCTGGAGAATTTGACACAACTGTATAACTTACCCTCTTACATCTGGAGAATTTGATTGATTGATTGATTGATTGATTGTATACTGTTTAACGCCACTCTCCAGAATATTTCACTGCTATGGAGACGTCACCATTGCCGGTGAATGGCTGCAAATTTAGGCCTATGCTCGGCACCCAGGGCCTTTGAGCAGGAAGGGAGCTTTATCGTGCCACACCTGCATGCTGTGACACGGGACCTCGGTTTATACGGTCTCATCTGAAGGACCGCCCCATGAGTAGCCTTTTACGACAAGCAAGGGGGTACTGAGGACCTATTCCAACCCGGATCCCCACGGGACGGAGATTGACACTACTGTTTAACTTACACTATTACATCTGGAGAATTTGACACTACTGTATAACTTAACCTCTTAGATATTGATAATCTGACCCTATACTGTATAACTTACACTCTTGTATCTGGAGAATTAGACACTACTGTGTAATTTACCCTCTTAATTCTAGAGAATTTGGCACTACTGTATAACTTACCCTCTTAGATCTGGAGAATTTGACACTACTATATAACTAACCTCTTAGATACTGATAATTTGGCACTACTGTATAACTTACCCTCTTAGATCTGGAGAATTTGACACTTCTATATAACTAACCTCTTAGATACTGATAATTTGGCACTACTGTATAACTTGCCCGAATTTGACACTACTGTAAAAGAAAATGTCTAAATTAACAGTAATAAAACATAAAAAAAGAGAGAGGAAAAAACGAGTGTTCGCCCCCACCCCCTCCCATCTCCTCCCATTCCCGACCCCATTATACATTTTACACATACATATTTCAGTGTATTCCAGACATGAAAAAAAATTTGTTTAACTTCTATATCTAACAGCCGATATAAGAACTATGCGATGACTTTATGAGCATCGAATAAAGTTCAAAATTTCCTCCATCATGCCAGTTGGTCGAATCATAGTCCTCGCCAATCGTTACTACGGAAAAGGGCGAGCATGATTGAGACTTTGCTTTAGTTATAGGTCTGTAGAAAAAAGATGTGTGGATATTGTAAATTCAGAGTGAAAAACGGGATGTTTAAAAAATTCCGGACATAATTATGTCCGGAATCTTTATGATTTCGCAACTGACTGATACACAAAGTATTCAACTAAATAAACCATTGTTTCAAATCAACAACATTCATTCAACAAAGGAAGCTTTGATAACGACATACATTTAATTATGCACGCAAGCCAATCGATTGAACATCGTCATGAAATTGAAAAATCTGACAGTTATTTCTTATATTTATATATTGTCCCCCGCTCTCGCGAAAGCGAGGGGACATTAAATCTCATTCGTCTGTCCGTCTGTCACAAAAACTTTAACATTGTCCATAACTTTTGATTTAGTGGAGCTATGACTTTCATATTTCACAGGTGGATTCCTTGTGACAAGACCTTTCTTTGGGTACCACCAAATTTGACCTTTTGACCTTGACCTTGGCGTTTGGCCTACTTTTTCACAAAAAATTCCAAACTTTTACTTTGGACATAACTTTTGAATAGTAGATACTATGACTTTCATATTTCACGTATATTGTTTGTGGCAAGACCTTTCATTGAATAACAACAACCTTGACCTTTTGACCTTGACCTTGGAGATTTACGTACTTATGAAGAAACTTTAACATTGACCATAACTTTTGAACAGCAAGGTCTAGGTCTTTGGTACTTCACATATGTAATCCTTGTGAGAAACCCTTTCATTGGATACCAACAACTTTCACCCTTTGACCTTGACCTTGGAGTTTTAACTCCTTTTTAAAAACTTTAACCTTGGTCACAACTTTTAAACAGTAGATACTAGAACTTTTATATTTCACTTATGTATGCCTTGTGGCAAGACATTGCATTGGATACCAACAACCTTGACCTTTTGACCTTGACCTTTGAGATTTACGTACTTATGAAGAAACTTTAACATTGACCAAAACTTTTGAACTGTAAGGGCTAGGTCTTTGGTACTTCACATATGTAATCCTTTTGAGAAAACCTTTCATTGGATACCAACAACTTTCACCCTTTGACCTTGACCTTGGAGTTTTAATTCCTTTTTAAAAACTTTAACCTTCGTCACAACTTTTAAACAGTAGATACTAGAACTTTTATATTTCACTTATGTATGCCTTGTGGCAAGACATTTCATTGGAAACCAACAACCTTGACCTTTTGACCTTGGGCTTAGAGATTAACGTGCTTATGAAAAAACTTTAACCTTGACCATAAATTTTGAACTGTGAGGGCTAGGTCTTTGGTACTTCACATATGTAATCCTTTTGAGAAAACCTTTTTATTGGATACCAACAACTTTTACCCTTTGACCTTGACATTGGAGTTTTAACTACTTTTTAAAAAAAACTTTAACTTTGGTCACAACTTTTGAACAGTAGATACTAGGACTTTTATTTTTTCACATATGTTTATCTGTGGCAAGTCCTTTCATTGGATATCAACAACTTTGATCTTTTGGCCTTGAACTTAAAGATTAACGTAGTTACGAAAAAAATTAACCTTGACCATAACTTTTGAACAGTAAGCTAGGGCTTTCATACTTCACATATGTAATCCTTGTGAGAAAACCTTTAATTGGATTTAACAACTTTGACCCTTTGATCTTGACCTTTGAGTTGACCTTCTTTGAAAAAATCTTTAACTTTGGCCATAACTTTTTAACGGTGTAGGGTTATTTTTTAAATGTTACTCTCTAGATAAATGACATACATTGTATGATAGTATATGTTCATATTACAGACAATATATCATAACCAGAAGTCTCTGTCGAGACTGAAGCTCTACTGGTTTGTACTTACAGCAAAGGAAGAGAAAAGTACTTAAGCAGTTGGAAATTAAAACTTTTCAACAGCAGTAAATACTAAATAGAATAATGATCCTTGATTAAGTCTCTTTATGTTCTTAGTGTAGTATACTTGCATGCCACATTTATATTATAATCAGACTAAAATTGTATTTGGAGTAGCATTTTGAAAGAGTTTCACAGAAATGTCTATTTTTAGTAACCATGGCAACACTGTTCATCAAAATCAAAAACCGATACACAGAATTATGTATCTTATTGTTGTCTACTTGTGTGCCAAGTTATATTGAAATCAGACTAAAACTGCAGAAGGAGTAGCATTTTGAAAGAATTTCACAGAAATTTCTATTTTTAGCAACCACGGCAACACCGTTCATCGAAATCAAAAACTGATAAATAGAATTATGTATCTTATTGTAGTCTGCTTGTGTGCCAAGTTATATTGAAATCATACTAAAACTGTAGAAGGAGAGGCATTTTGATAGAATTTCACAGAAATTTCTATTTTTAGTAACCACAGCAACACCGTTCATCAAAATCAAAAATTGATATACAGAATAATGTATCTTATTGTAGTCTACTTGTGTGCCAAGTTATATTGAAATCAAAAAACTGCAGAAGGAGTAGCATTTTATTTCACAGAAATTTCTATTTTTAGTAACCACGGCAACACCGTTCATCGAAATCAAAAACCGATACACAGAATTGTGTACCTTAGTGTAATCTACTTGAGTGCCAAGTTATATTGAAATCAAACTAAAACTGTAGGAGGAGTAGCATTTTGAAAGAATTTCACAAAAATTTCTATTTTTAGATATATCAAAAACCGATACACAGAATTATGTATCTTAGTGTAGTCTATTTGTGTGCCAAGTTATATTGAAATCAGACCAAAACTGTAGGAGGAGTAGCATTTTGAAAAATTGTTTACAGACAGACAGACAGACAGACGGACAGACAGACAGACAGACAGACGGACGGACGACGGACGCATTACTATCGCATAAGCTCTTCTGGTCTCTGACCAGTAGAGCTAAAAATAACATCTCACCCACAAAGATACCGAAAGTGGGGGACCACAATTCTTTGAATTTGCTTGTTTTACATGGTATTGATTCCGCCAATCCACGTGCTTCAAGCCCCAATTTGTGTCTCTTATTTGTCACGCCCTGTACGTGACTTTGTTACCCATGCCTATCAATGAACCAGTACATTAATGGGAAAATAAAGTACATTGACTATTTGTAATTTTATCTCGAACAAAGACATTGGAAATGTAAATATTTACAGACAAGCTGGAGTATAATTATGCAAGTATATATATGCATTAATTTTTCACTATATAACCTAGTGTTATGTTCCTCAACTATAATAAATTATTAAAGAACAACTCTCAAAACTAAGATAGACTTCTGTCTTCTTGATCCTAAAGAGATTTCAGCAATTCTACTGTCTTGTATAAAGTCATCTAGCCTTTCACAGTCTGTACATAGTCTTTTTATAACACATTTTTGAGTCGTTTTTTGACTGATATCCTTGGTTATTGTTTTAATATCGATTTGACTAATGATACTTTGGTTTACATGCCCAATACAGAGGACTCACGGCGGGCGTGGATCGTGGACATGCGCGGAGCTTATTTCATCTCAAAGTCGTTACAGTATTTGTATATGTTCAATGCATTTGTAAACATGGTAAATGTCCTGGTAACAGCGTGTGACTATGTTAAGATGCTTAAACAGATGTGCATCACGTAGTTCCAGGTGGATGTATCATTTATCGTAACGAAGTACTGTTTTATATTCATTGATACTATAATTATATCTTTTGTCTGTTTCTGAAGAAACAAGATCTGATTTAACATCAAGAATTAGCCTTAGAATAAATTTATCAGGATTTAAAATTATTTGCGCGCACGACCAGCAATCATTAGGCAATTTTTTGTTGAGATATGAAATTAATTTATTTCAGTCAAGTGATTCCAGAAAAAATATTTATAAAAGAGACAAGAAATTGAAGGTTGCATATACACCTTTCGCTGTCAAAGTAAGTACATATATTTACCTTTAAAAATGACAATTTCTTGTCTTGTAGGCATAATTTGAAAATATATATATAAACAAAATATACTTATTTGTACTCGCATAATTTTTTCGGTTAATAATTATTTAAAGGAAAGTTCAGCTGAATTATTTTGTCCAATATTCTGTTCAATATAAGTGAATTTTATAGATAAGAGTGATTCCATATTGGAAGAAAGCTTTACTACAAAATAAACAATAGAAAATGCTGTCTAACAACAATGCAGGTAAGAACGTGTTCATAATGAAAGATTCTTTTATGTCATGCAATTTATTCTATTTATCAAGCTTTTAGAGGTATCATTGTTGTCTGAACGTTTGTTTTCCTCATATATCTTGTATTTTATTTTTTTTATATATATTGTACATATACTGAACTCAAATAATACAGTATAATTTCTTCATAAAAACTATAAATGGGCGAATTCAAAACGGGGCAAAATTGTTTGCAAGTGTAAAAGGGCGAAAATAACACGGGGCGAAAATAACCCTGTATACGTATGTTATTGTTGATCCTAATGTACCATTAATATGGTTGAGTGAATAAATTGAACTTGAACAGCTCATTCTTTTCTTAATTGTCCACTTTTCTCTTTTGTAGTAAATAGCCCTCCCGGAATAAGAACGTTGCTTCTTATTTTTTGGATATTGTGTCTTGGTGTTAACAACAGTAATTCAACTGTACAGAGAGATCCGTGCGTTTCTGGTTGTGGAAATTCTTATGATTACTGTGCTTCACATCTATCTAAACAACAAAATTCTTATTGCCATGCCACTTACAGACACTGCATGTCTGAATGTCATCCGATGTTTATGAATGAAGAGCTGCCCTTCAAAAAGATCAAAGATTTAATCAATGGATCAGCAGCGCTTGGTAATTTTAACTGAGAGAATGAAATTCTAATTTACTGCATTTTCATTTTCTTTCTATGCCCAGGCTTTTAAAATTTGCAACATATTAGCTACAAATGTCAAAAATCGTCAGATAAAAGGCTCCCAGTTCTATGAAAGCACTCCATTAAAGGTGATGGTCATTCAAGTGAATTCCCATGATTCCATTGTGACCGTCCCTCATGTACAGGTACAGCCCTCCGCTCCCTCCCTCAGGGTCAGCTGGGAGGTGGGCGTGGCAGAAGGACCTGGGTCCGGGGCCCAGACAGGGGAGTACCCCCAGCAGTCTACCATCAAAGCTGTAGTGACACAGGTGTTCTGTGTAGGCCTCAGACTGGGCACTGTGCTGGGTGAAGGTCACCAGAAATCCCACTGTAAGATAAAACTATATGGTGTCATCATTGCATTACAGGAACAATGCATCTAATTGAAAATTTCAACTTGGTTTTCATACATAACTTCAAGACCATGCAAATAGAAATCCTGATTAAGTTGCACTGAAAAGTGCATGTCCCAATTCCATATACTATGTTCTATCCAAAAGTAGTTTAAGACTATCATGAGTTTATCTAGGACTTAAGACACCAAGAATTTCAAGGCCTTATTACCAAATGAAGTCTGGGTTAAAATTTTACTTATTCTTTGGCCTTATCAATACATTTAACATGAGCATTTTATATGAGCCATGTTCTGATAGAAATAGTAGTACCTGAAGCTCAGGACTAATGAGATGCAAAGGAAATGGACCATAACAGTGTACTGACCTGATGTACTGATAAAGTAGGCTTCCACAGGAGAACCTGCCAAGGTCAAGGTCAGGAAGACAGTGACCTCTGTGCACCTAGCAGAGATATGAAATTAGGTCAACACAATGTACACTGGAAAATTGTTACAAAAAATAATACATACTTAGTGGAATATTTCTATCTTCCATGAAATTTTGAAGGGTTTTTCTGATCAAGTGGTTGCCATTCTTATACTGTTTTACAGTAATTATAACAGAAAGAAATAAATTTTCAATAGGTACAATGATATTATCATATTTCATAAGCTGCCTACTTTGAGGTATCTGAGGGTACTTCCAGACACACTAAGGTTCTGTCTAATGCTGCTATACACCAGAGGTAAGTCCCACTGTCCCTGGTCACTGTCTGTGTAGACAACACCTGAATAGTGTTAAAGCTCTGCTCTATCTCCTGTCTGCTTTCTCCTATCTTCAGCTTCAAATCGCTACAAGATGATGCAAGATCTTAGCAAAGTTACAAGAATATATTACAAGAGGTGCGGCGAGCACATAAAATAATATCATGTCACATTGTTTTGAAAGAATTGTACCACCAGGTTATAAAAATTCTTTGTAGCAATAATTCTCCATTACAAACTTAAAAGCCCTGAAAAGATTGCAAATACACATGGAAGCAAGACAGACAGATGGACAAAGTGATTCCTATACACCTCCCTAAACTTTGTTTTCAGAGGGAATTGAAATTAAAAAAAATTGTTAATAAAAATTTCCCTTTTGAAGATCAAAATACACTATCAAATCACAAAAGATTATCAGCATTAGAAGTCAAAATCATTGCAAGTCTGCTATACATCTGATATTATTTGTATTGAGTAAAAGCTTCACCAATTATCTTTCTATATGTTTAAAAGTGTGTAATGTCTGGAAAATCCACACTGAACTTTTACAAAGGGGTCAGAATATTTTTTAACTAGTACCTTTGACAGGGTTTTGTAATATCAATGTTGAGAATTCGGAGCTGATGAGCTGCCACAAACTGTGTCTTGTTCTCCATCAGAACAATCACAACGTCCCCAAAGGCTGCTACAGAGGTGGCCTCCTTTATATCTGGACTGTAGAATTCTTCTCCATCCCTCCAGCACCACAGTCTACACAGTAAAAAAAAAAACAAGAGGCCTATGGGCCACATTGCTCACCTGAGAAGCTTTGACAATTCTGTTATTTACCAGATTTCCCCATTGTAAAACATACTGTGACCCCACCCTACCCCCTGATCATAAATTAGAAAAAAAATTAATCTACACTACCCCAGGATGTTTCCACATAAGTTTCAGCTTCTCTGGCCCAGTGGTTCTTGAGAAGAAGATTTTAAAATATATTTCCTATATATTTCTATCTAAACTTTCATTCCAAATTGTGGCCCCGTCCTATCCCTGAGGGTCATAATTTGAATAATTTAGAATCACACTATCCCAGGATGCTTCCACATAAGTTTCAGCTTCTCTGGCCCAGTGGTTCTTGAGAAGAAGATTTTTAAAGATTTGTATTATACATGTATGTCTCTATGTAAAAATTTGATTTCTTATAGTGGCCCCGCCCTACCCAAGGGGTCATGATTTGCACAATTTAGAATTTACACTACCCCAAGATGCTTCCACATAAGTTTTAGCTTCCCTGGCCCAGTGGTTCTTGAGAAGAAAGTTTTTAAATTTTTTCCTATATATAAAACTATTTAAAACTTTGATTCTCCATTGTGGCCCTGTCCTACCCCTGGGGGTCATAATTTGAATAATTTAGAATCTACACTACCCCAGGATGCTTCCACATAAGTTTCAGCTTCTCTGGCCCAGTGGTTCTTGAGAAGAAAGTTTTTAAAGATTTTTCCTATATATTTCTATTTAAAACTTCGATTCTCCATTGTGGCCCTGCCCTACCCCTAGGGGTCATAATTTGAATAATTTAGAATCTACACTACCCCAGGATGCTTCCACATAAGTTTCAGCTTCTCTGGCCCAGTGGTTCTTGAGAAGAAAGTTTTTAAAGATTTTTCCTATATATATTTCTATTTAAAACTTCGATTCTCCATTGTGGCCCTGCCCTACCCCTAGGGGTCATAATTTGAATAATTTACATTTCCACTACCCAAGGATGCTTCCACCAAGTTTCAGCTTCTCTGGCCCAGTGGTTCTTGAGAAGAAAGTTTTTAAAGATTTTTCCTTTATATTTCTATTTAAATCTTCGATTCTCCATTGTGGCCCTGCCCTACCCCTGGGGGTCATAATTTGAATAATTTAGAAACACAAATTTTCCCCAGGATGCTTCCACATAAGTTCCAGCTTCTCTGGCCCAGTGGTTCTTGAGAAGAAGATTTTTAAAGATTTTTCTATATATTTCTATGTAAAATTTGATTCCCCATTGTGGCCCCCTCCTACCCCAGTGGATAATGATTTGAACAATTTAAAATATTACACAAAATTCAATCCACACAAGTTTCAGCTTCTCTGACCTAGTTTATAAAAAAGATTTTTTGATGCCAACCAATTTTTGTCTAATTTGTAGCCCTCTCCTACATATAACCTTTAATTTTAAAATGATACATTTCTTTTCTCCAGAGATTTTTGTACCAAGTTTGACAAATACCCGGTCAAAAGTTAACAGTTAACAGACGGACAGACAGCTAGACAGCCTTTGGCTCAAGTGAGCTAAAAATTATGAAGTGCATACCGTAGAAACACAAATTTTCAAGGGGATCAGATTTCCTTGATTTCTTATCTAGAATGGTTTCATGGACATTAATTTCTTTGTTTCTGAGAGTAGTCATATGAAAATTAGTGTGGGATTTAATTTTGTTGATTATTACTAAATACTAAATATTAAAACAAAATTCAATCCCCAATCAAATTATCTGCTTTTATAAAACAATCATCAGTTTGATGCCAACCAAATCATTTGATTTGTAGCCCTCTCCTAGATATAACGTTCTATTGTTAAAATGATAAATGTCTTAAAGGCAGAGATTCTTATAGCACACTGTTTTGTTTTAAAAATACCTTGATCTGGGTAAATTTAGTGTGTGAAGGTCATGAAGTAATGCTGGAATTAAGATTGACATTTACTTACTGGTCCTTGTGTATACCCTGTACACCTTGTTTGGGTCTCGTGGTGATCTTCTAATTAACTTTTGATCCTTTGATGTTTACTGAACATGGTACACAGAAACTGTATTACTCTGATTTTTTTTTAGATCGATAATACATCTTGAATTAAATTTACCTTAGTCATTAAAAGAATTATTAAAATATAATGTGCATTAAAAAAATAACATTATTACATAAAACTTTTTTTTTTCAAATGAATTTTGATATTGATTTATTGTGCTAAATGTTAAAAACCAAAGACAGTGGAAATGTTATTGGTAGATTTCAGAGCAGCACTGTGTGAAGGGATAAAATTTAAAATAATGTTTCTAATTATGGGTCACATATTTCCCTTTTTTATTTCAGATAAGAATTTACAAGCAATTTTTTTAGCATATGTTTCATAAAAGATGGGATCCTGGGGATAAATGAATTCGGAGTAATTTAGTTGTTACAAGAGTTGTTTTTTTTTTTAATTAACACATACACTAAAATTTAAAACAATCTTTGTTTTAATATTTGAATTTTTAGTATACCATGTATACCATCATATTTTTTTTAAATGTGTAGGAGTGTTTTCAAACAGTCAAAATAAATCAATATATAATTGAAAATCCTTTTTTTTAATATTAAATAATTTTAAAATTGTCTAAAAATTCTCAACACAGGTAGACCTAGATATATAGATAACACCTAGATATTTCACTGTGTATTAAATCACTTCCTGTGTATAGGGATTAAGCGACAGATGACCACAGGTAGACTGCTAGCCCCGAAGGCATTCACACCTATACAAAATAAGCCCCTCACCTGGACTTTACCACCCGGTTAAAAATCTCTGCCTTTAAGGACCTTTAACTTGCTGGATTGACCTTGGGTCAAGATGAATACAAACAATTATGTAATAATCAAGCAATCTTTGTAAGAGGTATGGTCTCACCGTCTGAACAGTGTGTTCCCATTTTGCCTTAACTGTGAAATTCAGGTAAGAAAAATTTAAAAGTACTAAGGCTAAATGGGAATTTTAGTATTTGTAAATATTACCACTGGGTTGATATGAAAATTTAAATGAATTTGATAATAATTTTTAGATTGAATTTAAAAGTTAATGGGAATTTATGAATACAGTAAATGAAATAATACATGTAAAACCAAGTATTTTTTTTTTTTAAATTACATTAAATCTTCATTGTTATATATTTTACAGTTAAGGTGAGATGGGAACCTGTCAAATGTTCCTCCATGCCTTTTATATATTTTTTCCTGTCAATGGCCTTGAACTTGCCAGAATGGCCTTAAAGTTATAGCCTTGCATGACAAACAAATAGAACATGGTGACTCCTATATATTAACCCCCCCCCAATAAATAATTCTGATTTTTACCTTTTCTGGTCACTGATAGCTATAAGTTGGTCTTTTATTATCAGTGGGTACACTTGTTTCTTGTAAATGCTTCTCTGTAGTAGACCTCCATGTCCGATGTAATCATTTTGATGTACAGTTTCAATCAATGAACCATCTTGATCATATATTTCAATTAACCTAAAAGTTATAATGTATAACAGATCACTGGAACTTTATCAGTGCAGACACTAGTTTATCTTTTCTCAAAAATTCAATTCTTTTAAATAAAATGAATATTTTAAAGAAGTAAATCATAAGAATTTTGCTGAAGTTTATTCCTTTGAGATATATCAATGTTTGAGATATCAAAGTTCAACTGAAAACTTCCTCAACGAGAAATATGTTTCCCTAACCTGTGTGAACTATAAAAGTGAATGACTTCAGCATTGTTGATTCTGTAGCCCTGATACAACTGACATGGCCGTACAGTGTAGGGGTTCTCTTGGCTTTCACTGTAGAGTATGAATTCTTGGGACCATTTCCCTTTGTAATAGATTTTCATTTCCAAAAACTTCTCCGCTGAAGAACAGTTTGCTATCTGAAGCAGAAAAGAAGGTTATATACCCATGAACGTAATTTTTTTTACAGGTTCAAAGATTACTTTTATCATATTCTTTAAATATCTTTATGTATAGAAGACCTATCTTAAATTGTGATCAGAAGAGAATTACACTATAGCAATAATATTTGCCAAAATTATATTCCAATTAAAATTTCTGGAGAAAAAGATAAACAAGAAAACTTTGAGCACACATTTATACTATGTTAATTCAGTAATAACAAACTCACCACAAGAAAGTGCGATGCTATATATGGTTTAATATGGTCGAATATCATGGCTACAGCCTTCCCAAACATGAGAGGTTCTGTCACCAGTTTATATGCATGCCTTCTTCCTCCCTTCATTTCCCTTTTCTTTTCCTTCTTTTTCTTTCCTTTGTCTTTAGTTGACGATTTTTGGGGATTTGTAGTGGCTTCATTTTTAGCACACATGGCAATAGCCTAAAAGAAATAACACCCATTTGTAAAAATATTGATGCTCCTGTAGGTACTTAGTAACTCACTGTGAAGGTTACAGGTTAAAGTTTATCCAATGACCCGCAGCTGCCTTGGGTCAAGTGACTGAAAATATTGGTATCTAAAGAAAAGCCTTGTCACACGGAATATACCGGTGAAAATATTGGTATCTAAAGAAAAGCCTTGTCACACGGAATATACCAGTGAAATATAAAAGCCCCTCACCACCAATTGGTGCTAAAATTCAAGTTTTTCAGAGGCAGGTTCAACTCCAAGATCAAGGTTTCAGAGAATCAAAATTGATGGTTACACTAGATTTCTATCCATTAAGCAAACTAACATGTTTTAATAGCTTTTTATATTTTTTATAGCTAGGCCAAATGATCATTCTATAAAAACCTCTGTGCTGCATTTTCATGAGTATTTATTAAGAATAATTTACAACTTAAAAGATTAAACAGTTAGTACTTTGTTATATGTTTTACTGTACTGACAATCATAACTTAGCTTACATATGCATCCATTGTACATCCTGTATTGTGTACTGTCCTCAAAATATCTAGAGCTATCTGTCTTTGAGATTCTTCTGGAAAAGATACCTTATGTTTCAACTCCTCTTCCACTCTCTATTGAAAAAAAACTTGATTCAGTTATAATTTTTATTAAGCAACATTAAGGTAGTCCGATCCTCAGGTTTATAAAATTAGCAGTTAAGGAATCAAAAATACTCATAAAAGTATCTCTGAATCCACAAAGTTATGTATTTATCCACAATATTTCTTTAAAGTTAAAGATTAAAGTTAATCATATTATATAGGGAAAATTGTCAAATCTCCAATATTTTTGCAGAGAAAGCGAATTGGAATATCAGCAATGCATTTTCTAATTGCATTCAAATTGATCAGCATATATATCTTAGGTTAAAAAATGATAGGTATCCAGGCATTCAGAGAAATTGTCATGATTTTCATAGTTACTTATTTGGCATTTTTTTTTCTTATACACATGTATTTCCGTCATCTATTCTATAATACATAGTATAAAAGGTTTTACTATCATTGCAAGACACCATAAATCTTCTTCATGGATCCCTATTTGGCTAGGGTCTATATTTTTCTTGGGTATCTATCAAAATGAACAGTCAAACTTCTATACCTCGAACTTAAAGGCCGAGGTTTTCAACCGTACGGTTTCCTCAGGTAAGTTAGGTGTGGGGTGGAGCTTAATCAAAGCAGCTGAGAAGCCCCGTGGAAACGACGCTGGGTTGTGTATTAAGTACCTATATACACACTGCCAGGATGTTACCCGAGTGTTTTACCTGTATGTGCTTCCCTATCACATTGTACAACGAAATCAAAGCTTTTTTTCTTGTTCCCGACAGAATCCTTCTCAAATTATATCTTTTAAAATTATTTTTTTATATTCGACAATTTCAATTTTATTAATCACACAGTACCAAAATCTGTCAAATCAAAGTATCCAATCCCAGGTTAAATTTCAGATGATTAACAGGAGTTGTAAGACCAGGTAAATTTGTAGGAGGTGCTTATTTCCTCCCCCTTGAAAGGGACTTAAACAAGAGGCCCAGGGGCCACAGCGCTCACCTGAGCACATCGGGCTTGAATTTAACCCCCCCCCTCCAGGCGTTCATCGTTTGAACAAACTGGAATTTAATCTACACTACCTGAGGATGATTCCATATAAATATCACTATTCATAGCTTTGAAGTACTTGAAAAGAAGAATTTAAAAGGTTTCTCTATATATCCTTATGTAAAACTTGGGTCGGCCATTTTGGCCACACCCTTGCCCCGGGGGTCATGATTTGAACAAACTTGAATCTACACTACCTAAGGATGATTCCACATGAGTTTCATTTTTCCTGGCCCAGTGGTTCTGGAGAAGGATTTTTAAAGATATTTCCTATATATTCCTATGTAAAACTCGGGTCTGCCATTTTGGCCCCACCCTTGCCCCAGGGGTCATGATTTGAACAAACTTGAATCTACACTACTTGGGGATGATTCAACATGAGTTTCATCTTTCCTGACTCAGTGGTTCTGGAGAAGAAGATTTTTAAAGATTTTTCTTATATAATCCTATGTAAAACTAGGGTCGGCCATTTTGGCCCTACCCTATCCCTGGGGGTCATGATTTGAACAAACTTGAATATACACTACCTGAGGATGCTTCCACATGAGTTTCATCTTTCCTGGCCCAGTGGTTCTTGAGAAGAAGATTTTTAAAGATTTTTCTTAATATACAGTGGAGCCTCATTTATCCGGACGCTTTGGTTCCCAGTCAATTTGTCTGGATATGTGAAGCGTCTGGATACCTGAATCACAAGTTAAACAAGACATATTAACATTTTGAAAATCTGTTCCGATGAAAAAGCGTCCAGATACTGAAGCATCCGGATATCTGGCGTCCGGATATCTGAAGGTCCACTGTATTCCAATGTTAAACTTGGGTCAGCCATTTTGGCCCCACCCTTGCCCCAGGGGTCTTGATTTGAACAAACTTGAATCTACACTACATGAGGATGATTCCACATGAGTTTCATCTTTCCTGGCCCAGTGGTTCTTGAGAAGAAGATTCTTAAAGATTTTTTCCTATATATTCCTATGTAAAACTTGGGTCGGCCATTTTGGCCCCACCCTTGCCCCGGGGGTCATGATTTGAACAAACTTGAATTTACACTATCTGAGGATGCTTCCACATGAGTTTGATCTTTCCTGGCCCAGCGGTTCTGGAGAGGAAGATTTTTTAAAAATGACATAAATTTTTAATAAATTCATGATTATCTCCCCTTGGAAAAGGGCGTGGCCCTTCATTTGAAGAAACTTGAATCCCCTTTACCCAAGGATACTTTGTGCCAAGTTTGGTTGAAATTGGCCCAGTGGTTCTTGAGAAGAAGATGAAAATGTGAAAAGTTTACGACGACGACAACAACGACAGACAACTGACAAATTTATAAAAGAAGAGCTCTTTTGAGCCTTCGGCTCAGATGAGCTAAAAACTAACCAAGGCTCTGAGACATTGAGGGTAAATACTTAAATCAAAGTACTGAAAGTACTCATGGGAGTTGAACATTGTTATCTGAGACATTGAGGGTAAATATTTAAAAAATATGTTGTTGAGACTTCCTGATCACTTTGACATATCCATGGTATTAGAGATACCGATGTTTGACACAACAAAAGTTCAACTGTAAATATTAATAAAACTGTATTTATTGTTTAAATAATTGAAGCAGAATTTTTTTCTATATCATCATCTTAACATCTGCAATTTCAATTTCTGCATTCAGTCTGAACTGCAATACCCAAAATTACAGGATTTGCTAAATTCAGCAAACATTTTATGTCCGTAGAAGTTTTCAGTGTTACCCAGTTACAATATTTTACCTGATAGATTATGTCTGCAAATTTGTTGATGAGATTGACCTTGACCTTTCTACCACTGGGCCCTTGCCAAATCAGATGACTGACATTATTCCTGAATTCGTGGCACTTATACGCCCGGACATTAGTCTGGCAGGTCATCAACAGATGGACGCGTGCCCCGTCCTCATCATGGTAGACCTCTAGAGGGGTGGGTATCACGAGTCTCCAGGGGTCTGAGGGATCCACAGACTTCATGACCCCCCTCCACGGAGCGGTCCCATTGTTGTTATAAGTAATCATCCTGAGAACAAAAACAATTCAAGGAATTTGAAAGTGCTCTACAGCAAAATTTCTTCACAGCTCTTCAGAAAAAAATAGACATTGAAGAAACTGAAAGCAAATCTCGGATAGTTTTCTTTACCATGAACTTTCAATATTATGTACAAAATGCTTTACGAATTTAAGGACTAGATAATATAATCAGAAAGTCTAGGAGGAGACGTTGACTCCATTTGTTTAAGTATGACGATCAACAAAATAAATCTTCTGAAAACATTTGATAATGAAATCAGACAATCTGATTAAAATCCGATCCTTTGATCTGCTCACAAAGATCACTACACAAGGTAGCGATCTGTGGATCACTACACAAGGTAGCGATCACAAGGTAGCGATCTGTGTGAATGGATCAAAGGATCAGATTTTAATCTGATTGGAAATTGGAAAAACAATAAAAAAAAATTCTAATGCAGTTGTTTTGTAAAACACTTTTTCATTGGCTAATGCACTGATGTTTGAAGCAGTAAAACGAGCATTAACGAGCGTGAAAGCTTTTTAATTGTGACGTCATAATATCACGGCGGGGAATCTACGTCATCGTACAGGATTAGGACACACAAAAATGGAGGACAAATGCTCCGCTTCGATGTAAGAAATTGATATTTTTGCACTTATAAAGAATGGATATTAAATCAGTATCCTGCCTAAAGTATGCCAAAGAACGTCAACTACAATATATATTGTACGTTTGTTCGTGATAGGATCTTATTGCTCCAAACACTTCGACACAGTTTAAAAACAAGTGAGAAAAACCCGGGATGTGGGGCACACATTTTTAAAATTCGACCTATTATTCGCATGTCCAGTTGTACTAGATATTTTATTCTTCCACGTTTACACTAGAACTAATATTTTAAAAAAATCCAGATTTGTTTAATAATTTATTGTGCTTAAATTAACCAAGAAAAAAGTATAAATCATTTTGTTTTCAGAAATGATGTAGGGCACACCAACACTAAAACGGATATAGGAAACACAATAAGTTACTTTCAAATTGAAATATCGAGCATTCATATCTTAAAGTTTCCATTTAAATGACTGCTGTTAGTATATAAACAACCTATAAAACTCATCTTTGTTATACTCATCCACATACTTGATTCCCTTGGTTTGCTTGTATCCAAACAAAAATTATAAGTTGAAAATGCTGCTCTATTCCTCAACAAAAGCTTCCAACATGAATTTTAAATTTTGACTTTTATTAAATTTCATGTAGAAATTTACCGGTGTTCACTTTTAGAGATCTATACTATAGAGAGAGGGGGACCGAAGTTCGGAGATTGTGTTTATTTTATGATATTTCTATTTTAAGTTACACAACATCCGCCCCCCCCCCCCCAAAACAAAACAAAACAAATCAAAAACAAAATAAAAACACACATACACATACACACTCACGAAATAAGTTTTTTTTAGGTTGGTTGTTTACTTTATTGCTTGTCAAAATAGTTTGGAGTCAGAAAATTCTTTGGAGTTTGTGTGGACCCCCCCCCCCCTTCCATCCCGAAAAAGTTCCTTAATCTGCATACTGGTATTAATAATAAAATCTGCGGCACTAGCATGTTTTTAATATGGGAAAGAGATCAAGAACTTTTCTTATGCTCAAATATTTGCAACAACTGACCCTCCAGGTGAATATAAGAATTTTTTTTCCCTACACATACTACAATGGTCTAAAAATAGATCGAGAAATTCCAAATTGAAACAAATAGTTTCGGAAAGCTATTTTATTTGCTCCTTACTTGCACTCAGGTAAACATAAAATTGGTAATCGAATGTATGAAAGTGGTTGCCTGTAATGGGGAGGGCCAAAACAAAAATTGAAGTTAAAAATTTTCTTTCCGTTGTTGCCAATCAAAGGTTTTTAGCTGTAATTTTTCTCTGATAATGCCCCCCCCCCTCCCTCTAAAACTTATCCTATAAAAGAGCTTGACATTATTTCTTTTTTTGGTATAGCTATTAAAAAAGTACTTTTTTACAAAAATTCCCAATTTTTACTGCTATAATATTATTTATTTAATTTAACCCTGCTCCTATCATTGCTTTTGGCTAATATTCCAGCAAATGTAAATAACATGACACGAACTGCTTTATGAGTACGTAATATTTTATCACTTATTCATACATGTATAATAAAACAATAATTGTTGTTTTGTTTTTTTTCAATCAATACGATGGTTTAGCCACCTTCCAAGTATAATATTCAACTTTGTCTTTTTTTCTCAAATATGGAGTCGTTGATAAACTATTAGAATTTTGACACAAGTTTGTCAGCTGTTGCAAATAAGACCGCGGAACATTAACTGGCAAAATTGGAAATATACAGCTTACGTCATTTCTATCTGTTACAGTCAAAACATTCAGTGATACACAACGAAATGGGCGGGTGCAATTCGACGCGGACGTTTGGAAAACATCGGATTGAAATAGCAGATCGAAATTCATTTTAAATCCACCTGAGTTGTTTTCAAAGCAAAGAGTGAATGTATGATCCAAAAATCAACTATATTTCAACTCCCAAATACACATTGTTTGAAGTTCACATTAATATGAGTTTTAGCTTATAATTTTAAGAACGCGAAATATCATACAAGACAAAGATTATTTTTCAGGAGATACAAGTATTTGATTCTAGAAGGGGGAGGGGGAAATTGTCGAGTCAGGTCATAGCTTAACATGACAATATATTTTATTTCTAGGATTTTAAGAGTGCATGAATTTTATACTTATTCTCACTGAAAACTGTTGGACAACTTTATTTAAAAATCCCCTCCACCACCACCAACACAAAGATATACATATATTTACCAAACAGAAATGAAATATTTCTCCCTTAAATATTTATTCCTTTAAAACACTGGACAAAAAAATTCAAACTGTACCAAAATTGAAATTATTTGTCTTCTGGGTCAATCAGTAATAATGTGCCTTCTAGGGTAGCTGAGGTGGACTGAAAATGAATTTCGATCTGCAATTTCAATCCGATGTTTTCCAAACGTCCGCGTCGAATTGTACCCGCCCATTTCATTGTCTATCACTGAATGCTTTGATTGTAACAGATAGAAATGACGTGAGCTGTATATTTCCAATTTTGCCAGTTAATGTTCCGCGGTCTTATTTGAGCATAAGAAAAGTTCCTTAATCTCCGCTTCCTATCAGCTAACATACTAGAGTCTTGCCGACAAAGATCTAATAAATACAAACACTGAATATACGAATACAGAAACTTTTTGAGGGGGGGGGGGGTCCACACAAACTAACAAAAAATATTCTGACTCCAAAATATTTTTACAAGCAAAGAAATTAAACAATCAACCTAAAAAAGCTATTTCATGTGTGTTCAATAGGGTCTGGGTCGTGTTACTCAACACAGAAATATCGTAGGGTACGTAAAATATACGTAGACTCCGGATTTCAACCCTGCTTTTAGATCCGCACATGTTTATACTAGTATCTTTCAATATGATATTATATTTAATAAAAGTCAAAATTTGACATTCATTTTGGCAGCTTTTGTTGAGGAATTTTTGTATGGATACAAGCAAACCAAGGGAAAATCAAATATTTGGATGAGTATTACAAATATGTGTTGTACAAGATACCAATCGGCAATCCTCGGCTGACTCCGCTACGCTCCATTCAAACCTCGGATGTGATAGGTGGAGGAATACGCAACAGATCGCTACATTTCTCCGCCGGAAACTGCCTTGTCACTCATTTCATATTTCGCTCTTCCTAGAGTTCTTAGAAAAGGTTTCTTTATTAGTGTAATTCCTCGTGTTAATTACAACCAAATGTTAGTATTCTTTGAAAGCAAGAACACAGTGTTGGGCGTGCATCAAAGTAACTCGGATTTCAAAAGTATAATATTTAAATGAAATTCAAATAAGATCACATGACTGAATCAGCAAGATGGAAGATCACCGTTGACGTCCGAGGTTATGTGCGAGGTACGAGTCATCCGAGGAACTCCGATTGACAAGATACAAGATATTTTATTTACCAATCAAGGGCCCCGAGGGGCATTTCAACATACACAAATGTACAATTTAAACATTCTTTTTTATTTTTTAAAAAATATACCGGTAATTTTTTTTAAACAGTTATTGTTCTCAGTGTCAATGACCATACATAATACAAGTGTCCAGAAGAATGTCAATGATCACAAAACAATACAAAAAATGCGATGCTATACTCCATGTATATATTTAAATGGCTTAGCATGCATAAACAAGATGACAGAATCTATGTTTCTTTTACCATTTTTAGAAATAAATTTTCCAAGTAAGCATAAAATTTCTTTATTTTCATTATTCAATATCCATATAAGTTTTTCAGCAGGTGTCAAAGAAGAGAAGTTTGGGTTGATTTTTGATATTGTTTCCATTAATTGCAACCTTTCATTGCTGTATTTTGGACAAATAAGCAAAAAAGGTTGTTCATCTTCTACTTCCTGTATATTACATTGAGAACACTTTCTAGATTCAGGGGGAAGTCCTGCATATCTTCCCCTTTCAATATTTAATTGATGTGCAGGAATGCGAAGTTTAGTTATATTTTTCCTCTGATCATAGTTATTGACAATGTGGAGATAGTGTTCTCTTCCCAAATTGGTTTTGAAGATGGAATAAGTTCTAAGTTTACCATCATTTTCCCGCCTATTTTCTCTATACCATTGGTTTATAAAGTATCATCTGATAATACATGATGACTTACTTTTAAATGAACAAGTACTATATTTTGATAAGTCAATATTTTTGAAAGCAGTTAAATGACCCAAAATTGTCTCAATGAATGCAAACCATGATGGTTTATTTTCTAGAAAGAGGTTTTTTGAGACGGAATATGCTTCTTTGAGTAGGACAAAAGATGGATGTAATGTTTCTAGTCGAAACCAGTAACTTAGCATAGCTTTAATAACTGAATGATACAGTGGAAGAGTCCTTGTTTATATACTACCAAACAGCAGTCATTTAAATGGAAACATTAAGATATGAATGTTCGATATTTCAATTTGAAAGTAACTTATTGTGTGTCCCATATCCGTTTTAGTGTTGGTGTGCCCTACATCATTTCTGAAAACAAAATGATTTATACTTTTTTCTTGGATAATTAAAGCATAATAAATTATTAAACAAATCTGGATTTGTTTAAAATATTAGTTCTAGTGTAAACGCGGAAGAATAAAATGTCTAGTACAACTGGACATGCGAATAATAGGTCGAATTTTAAAAATGTGTGCCCCACATCCCGGGTTTTTCTCACTTGTTTTCAAACTGTGTCGAAGTGTTTGGAGCAATAAGATCCTATCACGAACAAACGTACAATATATATTGTAGTTGACGTTCTTTGGCATACTTCAGGCAGGATACTGATTTAATATCCATTCTTTATAAGTGCAAAAATATCAATTTCTTACATCGAAGCGGAGCATTTGTCCTCCATTTTTGTGTGTCCTAATCCTGTACGATGACGTAGATTCCCCGCCGTGAATATAGTGACACAAAACACAATGCTCCATGACGTATTTCATGTAACAAAATTCATCAAAATAAGACGTAAACAACAAAGAAAATGCATTGATTGCATCAGAATGGGAATAACTAATCTTCTTATTTGTTATCTGCGACCGTTAATGCTGATTTAACGGTCGCATTCCGCTTACGCGTCGCCGGTAAATTGGAAAAAGCATTAACGGTAACCAAATTAAAATAGTTATTCCCTAATTTAGACATCCAATATCTTTCAATAATTTCACAAAATAAGATATATATCTAAGACCCCTATAATTGTAAACTAACCCTGTGTATGGATCTAGATAAATTCCACCAGTAGGGGGCAGCAGAAGCTGCATATCTCCTGTCAGAAATCCTTCTGATGTCATTCTTAAATTAAGCTGTTCTGAGACAACATCTGCTTCTTGGGTAACTCTGAAATGGAAATTTTTTTCTAAGTAAATTATCATTATATCATTGTGCAAAAATTTCTAATGTCCAATGTTCTAAAATCTAATTAAAGGAAAGATTTTTAATATTTTAGTATTAAAACAAATAAAATTTGAATTCATAAATAATAAATAAAGTTACCTAGGAGTTGTTTGAACACACAAAGGTCTGAGCTGAGTTCTCCAGAGAACAGGTATACAGGTTATCTGCCCTTGTTTTCTGGCTACATCCATCAGGGGGAGCCATGGATTATCTGTTCGTTTGCGAGCCATATCCTCCCCAGGAAGATGAGGACCAAGAACTCGACTGAAATCCGATAACAGAAATACATTTACCAAATGCAATATAAGCATGAAAAGTTAATTTTATCTACATATTATGACCCGACCTGTACATGCAACTGGATATAAACTTACTCTCTAAATTTACAGTATCATTTCAGTGAGTTGAGAGCATCTCCTGTGAGAGCGTGAAATAAGGAGATATGATCTGGATATAAACTTACTCTCTGAATTCACAGTAACATTTCAGTGAGTTGAGAGCATCTCCTCTGAGAGCGTGAACTAAGCAGAGATGATCTGGATATAAACTTACTCTCTGAATTCACAGTAACATTTCAGTGAGTTGAGAGCATCTCCTCTGAGAGCGTGAAATAAGGAGATATGATCTGGATATAAACTTACTCTCTGAATTCACAGTAACATTTCAGTGAGTTGAGAGCATCTCCTCTGAGAGCGTGAAATAAGGAGATATGATCTGGATATAAACTTACTCTCTGAATTCACAGTAACATTTCAGTGAGTTGAGAGCATCTCCTCTGAGAGCGTGAACTAAGGAGAGATGATCTGGATATAAACTTACTCTCTGAATTCACAGTAACATTTCAGTGAGTTGAGAGCATCTCCTCTGAGAGCGTGAAATAAGGAGATATGATCTGGATATAAACTTACTCTCTGAATTCACAGTAACATTTCAGTGAGTTGTGAGCATCTCCTCTGAGAGCGTGAAATAAGGAGATATGATCTGGATATAAACTTACTCTCTGAATTCACAGTAACATTTCAGTGAGTTGTGAGCATCTCCTCTGAGAGCGTGAAATAAGGAGAGATGGTACAGAAGCTGGGGATGTTGTGAACACAGAGGAACAAGGCGTCTGACTGATTCATCTATGTAGTCACCTGTAATGTAAAAAAAATCTTTCTTTTAAAATTTACACAATTCAGCACATTATGTGGCAAAACATTTGAAGGACATGACATTTGAAAAAAAAGCAAAGAATTGGCCATTTATCTCTGTGAAAGTTTTCTCCCTTACCTGTTGATAAATTGACCTTAATTTTCTTCAATACATGTTTTTAAATAAAAACATCCAAATTACAATTCTTTAATATTACAAATAAGAGAAATGAATTATTTAAAAATAGTCAAACTTTAACCAGAGCAACCCATCTAGCTTTGTTTAGGTAAGCTAAAAGCACTGCCTTGCCTTGCCATGACCCAGCATGAAAACAGAGCCAGTGTTCTACTGCGGCCAATGCTGCATCATCTGAGACGTGAGATTCACAAGTAAACAGAACCTTCCAGGAGTTCCACGAAGACTGGGCCTTCCCCTTCATACTCCTAAAAAATAATCAAATGTACAGGTAGCTGAGCAGTTCATATGACACTGTGATAATATATATGTGTACATGTATTTAAATTTCTTCAAATAAATGTATATATCCATCATTTAATATATGTACCCACTCACTACTGGTATACAGTGTATTACATTACTGAATACAGGGCCACACCAAGATTCAAACCTAATCCCGCTGACTCTCCAGTCAGGTGCTCTACTAACTCACTCACAGAGCTACCGTATAGCGGGTTATTTTAGCGGGGTGCTAATTTTGGCGTTTTGATGATAGTCCATTAAAATTTTAATCACTAAACAAGTCAGTACTCTATTTAGTGTCCATCTGCAAAGAACTGAAACCCTGCATCAGCTAAAATAAATCACGCCAAAGTTATTTGCATACCTTTGAGCAGGCCAAACGCCAAATTTTACGACCGCCAAGAAAACCCGCTATACGGTATTTGGCCACCAGCAATACATTCTATTTCCACTATTGAAGAGTTATAGTTCTTTAGTGCGCTCTTTTGTGAAAAAGTCAGAGAATGTACAAATCTTGTGTGATTTCTGGGACAAACATTACAAAAACATGTAAACAACATGTTGAATGTCGATGAACAAATCCTATCAAAATGCATAATATCAAGATTTTGTTGTTGTGGACTTTATCTAAATCGAGAGAAGAGATGACAAGGAAATTAATTTACATCTATTGGTGATTGTATGTATCTATTTATCATAATGGTACATTTAAAGTCAATAAAAACACCTTCGATATGTGGTATTTTCATTAATGGACAATAAAGTTAGGGTTTTTGCTATTTTACATATTGTCTTTTAGTTCTTCCATTCTCTAGTTAGTCTAAGAATGACAAATGCACAAAACCTCTAAAATTGGACTGATACTGGTATGTTTTGTATTATCCGCAATGCCATGCTGTCCCAGTCAGACGAACAAACCCGCCTCTAATTCTGAAGAGTTCACTAATGGAAATACAGCGTATTGAATCTATCTGACCACCACATATGATATAATAAAGGTTTTCCACTTACCCCTGGTCATACAGATTGGCCAAAAGCATCATAGTCTGTGCTTCTATTTCAGGAGTATGCTTGGTATTTTGGGGTTTAGACAGGACGGTCTCTGAAGCTAATCTATAAAATTTAGCAGCTGTAGCTGTTTCTCCTGATATGGCATGCATTCGACCTGCTTCATTTAAAAATGCTGCCTTATATCTATCTATAATATAAAACAAGAAAAAAGCTACATTGCTTGTTCAAAGAAAATAGGCATCTTCTGAATTGACTGTTCTGTAGTGCATTACTTTATCAATCAAATATTGTAGATCACTAAATTTTCGCGACACCTTATTTTTGTGAGATAATCAAAGACTCTTGATTAGCGAGACAAAATTTTCACAAATTGTGGTTATTGCTCTATATAATCTTAAGGAATACTATTAAACCTGAGAATTAAATTTTCCTGAGTATACTGTCTCGCGTAATTATATGAAAATAAAGTTCTCGCAAATAAAAAGTGATTTACAGTACTTTTAAAGAGTGAAATTAAACTGCCTAACATTCTAAACATATAGGAGAAAGTTTTATACCATTTCACATGTCAAGAATGTGTTACAGAAGAACAATACTTAATCAAAATTCTATTTGACCTTTGATTTTGAATACATGTACCACAATTAACTTGTAAATGTAGATACTAAATCAGGAAAACATATATGTAAGTGAATCATTTTTTTGATCTAAGATTTCAAATTATCTAATGAATTCATCAATAAAAAAAATCCTGCAAAATTAATAATAAATTCTCTGTGTAAGAACAAGAGTCATCTTATGCATAAAATGGACCTGTTCTTATATCAATTAACGAGGCTAGGGGATGGCAGCCATTTTTAGACTATTTCAATCTCCTTTAAAAGGAGAGCTACATATAAACATATACAAAATGATAAAATTTTAAAACTAAAATATATGAATTCTTTCTTTGCCAAATGATAGTTGACAGCTAAATATACCATATCTAAAAAAAATGAGTTAAATCTGGTGGTTAATTTGGGATTAAATTGTTCACCCGCCAGCCTCCTTAATAGACTATCACCCTCTTTCCCATTTCATATATCAAAATAAAGTAAACACTTGGTGCTTTCATTTTCTTTAATAAAATTTCGTTTTGAGAATTCAGATATTGGAAAGCAGGTTTGAGAAATTGCATTATGTTCTTGAACGTGCCAAAAACATGGGGATTTCACAATGTTCCCTCTGCAAAGAATTAAAATATACTGAAAGGAAAAAGAAACGCAGGGTAAACTTTTGAGGTTATTTTTTTCTAAAAATAATTTTAGTTTTCCTATCTAACTTTTAAAATCTTCGTTCAAAAAGATATAACCAAATTCTCATATGATTTTGTCTAATTATTCATGAGTTATTGAAGTTCAATTATGACGATACCCCCCAAAAGTGAAAATCGAAAACTCTCATTATCTTCAATGTCTATCTCATGCATCTGTCAAAGTCTTATTTCTCCTTTGCATGGAATTTCATCGGAATGTTTATCTTTCAAACCCTGGCTATATTTAGCATGGGTAACCATGCAAAAAAAATAAGTCAAACGGCGCGCGCATGCGCCAGAGAGAGAGGAATACACCAGTAAGTTGACTGGCTCAAAAAACCAAATTGCGGAATTGTTTTCTTTCAAATTTGGTATGTATGTAATGATTATAATCGTCTACTCTATAAATGGCTGTTTTTGTGGTAGTAAGGTGGCGATTTAAGAGATGACAGGACGAGTAACCCGCTCGTAACATGGCTCTGTTTTGCGTTAACGTCATCGTCACGGTTGATTGAAAACCACTCCAGACCCTCTCTGACAACGGGTAAAATGTTTTCTGGGGGAAATTTTACAAGAGACTGTTTAGTAAACCATTGTTGCCTTTTTCATTAATTAGGCCATTCGAAAACAAGAGCCTATTGAACTTCCGTAAACTGTGCCAAGATTGCAATAGATTCATAATGTCTCTTAATATTGAAAAACGATGTGCATACCTCATATGCATCAAATAACGCAACAAGATTTGTTGACAAACTCGTCGTTTTCAAATTGCACGTGTTCCGGGCTTTTTAGCGTTTTCCGTACGTGACGTCATAAATTTTACGGTTGAGCAATTCTGAATGCTGATTTTGATGCACAGCAACTAAATTTCCCTTCTGACCAATTTTTGTAATAATCGGTCATGTGGTAAAATTTTTATCAAAAATTATGCTACCCTGCGTTTCTTTTTCCTTTCAGTATATGAGCACAGCTCACGATCCAAAAAATAAAACATGTTTTTTTTATCAGAGGTTGTGCTCTGTATGAAATATTGAAAAAAATTCTTCATCTTTAGGTCATTTTCAAAGGAATTTACAGGTTATGAGGAAAATGAAACATTTTATGATGCCATAATGCATTGACTAGATGGGAAATAACATCAAGATTAACAGATACGTCGTCACCAACACTCCAAGTGATAAATACTACATTTTCACTAATCTAAGTGGTTTTGGTTTTTCAGAAATTCTCAAGGCCAAATAACACCCAAAGAGGCTCTTGCACTTAAGAATACAGTACCCTAAGGCCAGATTGATTGAATATTGTTTAACGTCCCTCTCCAGAATATTTCACTGATATGGAGATGTCACCATTGCCGGTGAAGGGCTGCAAATTTAGGCCTATGCTCGGCACTCAGGGCCTTTGAGCAGGGAGAGATCTTTATCGTGCCACACCTGCTGTGACACGGGGCCTCGGTTTATACGGTCTCATCCAAAGGACCTCCCTTAGGCCAGAAGTAATCCCCATATTTAAAATCATTCTCATATTGTTAAAAATGTGCTTTGCCTATAGTATTGAATCCCTTGGCATCAAATACATTAATTTATATCTAAGTCTGCAGTATACATACATCTTTTTTCTGATTGAGAAAGCTGACAGAACAGTTCTGTTGCATGCTGGATATCTCCTCTAGCCCAGAATGCATAAGGTAGGGCCACATCAAAGAACTCTTTGACAATTTTTGGAAGTCTAGAAAAAAAAAATACACATTAGCATGATTAGTATTACATGTATTTAAAAACTTTCAATAATTTTCTCTTCATGGTTTTCTTCCATTCTTCAGACAGTAAAAGTTTTGAGATTTTTTTTCAAGATACGATGGACCTTCAGATATCCGGACGCCAGATATCCGGATGCTTCACTATCCGGACACTTTTTCATCGGAACTGAATTTTAAAATGTAATTTTGTCTTGTTTAACTATTGACTCAGGTATCCGGACGCTTCACATATCCGGACAAATTGACTGGAAACCAAAGCGTCCGGGTAAATGAGGGTCCACTGCATTTGATTGATTGAATATGCATTGCCCCCCCCCCCAAACTTTTCCTACATTACAAATATAGTAGGAAAGTTATCTATATATTTTGGGTTTTTTTTTTTGTATTTTTTGCCAGTATGTGGTGAATGGATCTAATTTAATCAAATGAAATCATGCATGTACATGTACATGTTTCTTTTATTTTTCCGACATAATTTTTGTTTGGATATTGTTGTAACTTGTATGAACAAGTGGAATGGCTGATCCTCTATACCCCTCCCCTTTTAAAAATTTTGTTTGCAGGGAGTAGAATAGGTGAGGGGTTTACATTGTACATGACTGTCCAACTATTCCCATCTTCAAATCTTTTGGCTATGTAAATTGTTTACCTTTTAGATATTAGTGTATGTTTTATTCTTTGACTGGCAGTTTTGGCGGCCATTCTAAGTTGTGCCTCCTCACTCTGATAGGAGAATTTTCCCTTTGGTTTCCTCCGAGATATTTGAGATGGAAGCATGCATTCAATTAAAGTTCCCAGTACTAAAAATCAGAATCAAAGATCAATTGATTTACTAGTGTGATAATTTTACTAATAAAATTCAGTATGAACACTTTAGCGTTTATGCAAATTATCATGCAAGAGAATTTGATTGATCACAAATTCACAATATAAAACCAAAACACTAACAGCTATTCCTTAATGAAGCATATGTTGTACATATAATATGCATACTTAAAAAAAAAAAACAATTCATATTACACATATATTCACACATTTGACTCTGAACATCTAATACATTGAACAATTTATTTAAAAAAATCATACCTGACAAAAACCAAGGCATAAACTGCAATATGTGAGAAACATCAAGCCACACGGGGGGTGGGGACACTAATAAATGTCCACCTGTGTACATCATACAAGCTGTCACTTTGTTCTTGTTGTAAACAGCGGTAAACTGTCGCAGAGTGTTTACTCCCTTCACATAAGGCAGAGGATACCACACACTGCACATTGGAAGAGCTGATACTGGAGAAAGTTCTGTGAATCCTGTTTTTCTTTTCCAGCACAAAAACTGTTCTTCCTCTTCCACAAAAGCCAGCATGTTTAACAGCCATTCATACTGAAATTTCTTAAATTGTAAGTATGTGTTAGCACCATAGATCTGGGACTTAATTAGATGGGGCATAGATTCAGAAGGGAACCTAATTCCTCTCAGCATCTTAATACATAGAAAGGACAGACTTGGGACCTCCCTTAGCACACTAATTTGTTTCCCCTGGATTTCAGACACAACTTCTTGGATATCCTCCTCAATGGTCAGTCCACAATTCATAAATGGCAGAATTTGATCACAATAGGTCATTTTATCCCGTCTTTTACGTTTCTGCTTTTTACTTGGAGCCCTGTGTCGAGTGTTTGCCTGTGAAGGATAATTCATGAAACATGCATCATTTTGTAAATTAATCTCATCTACAGCTTCCTCCAAACTCCCCGTAGATTCTTGCGAGTCCATTTCTTCCTCGTCTGAGTGATATGAACTCTCTGAACCACAATCTTCTCCCTGTGCTGATGATGCTGAGGATGAGAACTCCATCTTGTCTTTTTCGTCATTAGCCATGTTAGCCTTACTTGCCTCTCGCTCTTTAAGGGATTCTGTCTGCAGCTGCTTCTTCTTTCTGTTTGGTATTTTGGTTTCATTTTTAAATTCCCATGACACCATGCGGGTATACTCTGGCCTCTTCTTTGCATGTTTGATTAGATCTTTTAACGAATCTTCGTTTTCATCCACTTTAGAATCTTAAAACAACAAATCTAAAAGCATATAAACTTCACGTATGATTATCACTCTGTACTGTTTTTCAATAAAGAAGATATAGTATAGCCATATAGAAAAATGTAGAAATTCTATTTCTTAATATATAAATTAGTATTGTTTATATAATTTCCTTTTAAACAAAGTAAGCCCTAGAAAAAAAATATGTTTGTTTCCGCTTTCCCACTGAACCAAATTCATAGTGCCGACCCTAAATATTTTTTTAATGCTTTTGTCCCATGATGTGCAAGATTTCACTCAGGGAATTATAATCTCCAACTTTGTAAGCTTTTCAAGAAAGAAAGAAGTTTGGTTCACCTCTCCATTATCAGTTTGTTTCAGAATGTTTAAAAACACCATGTCTTTTGTCATTAATGTTACTTTTATACATATTTTGAATATTTTACATTAAAGAAGCAAACAAATAAAAAATTCACAAAAAAAAATTGCCTACCTACCTACCCTATATTTTTTCAGCCTGAAAGCCGAAATAAATATATTTTTTCTGAGCCTAATTTAAGTGCAAATTACGGGGATAATTTTATTCTCTGTTGAGAAGTAAATGGTCGTTAATAGCCCCTTAAGTGGCCAGGAGAGAGTAGACTTCTAAGTAGATAATGGGAAAATAATACTACATATATCAGCTAGTGTATATAACCTGAATGCTAAAACTGTTAGTGTTGGCTTTAACATTTTAACATGTTTAAAAGTTAAGAGTTTGTTTGGTGCATTTTGAAAATTAATTGAAATAAAAAGGAAATTATCCTGCAAAAAGGGATATACCTGACAGGATTCCCTTTCATGTTCTCCAAACTTTTGAAACCAGCAAACGAAAACTGTTTCCGTTTTTTGTTTACAACCGGTTACTTGATTGCGCAATCATCACCTTTTATATAACAACGATCCCGACCTCTAAACCGATCAGGAACAAGACAGTATAAAATCATTTTTTTTTAAATATTGCGAATTTTTTTTTAATTGAAAATTACAATTAGTATTTATGGAATGCCATATACGACAGCCAACTGCTTACTGCCAACTGCTCACTGCTTTAATGCCACTGCTCATTGACGAAATTGTGTGCATGTTTAACAGGTCCGGCACAATGTCTTGATTAAGCTATATAGCTTGATTTAGCTATATAGCTTTATTAAGCTATTCGGAATAGCTTGATTAAGCTATTTTATCACAATTTTTTCTCAAATATTTTATTTTTTCAGCATGTGCAAAAAATCGCACCTTGGTGCAGTGGAAATATTAAACTTTGAACTCTTCTGAATACAATGCATGTAAACATCACTCACCAAATTGCGTCTCCTTGAGAGACTTTCTAAAAATTTTTAAAAGTTTTTATTGATTAGTGACCACACAGTTATTTCTTGAATGAAATTATAAAGGAGGTCAGTTATAGCCAACAAGATAATTGATTGGTAACAGTTCAACACAATGAGAAGCAATCATACTTATCCATGCCTCACCGCACTCAATAGGACACTTTCCACCAGTGCAGTTACCCCAAACAATGAAAATTCATCTTTTGCTTAAAAGTATTCAACAACAGCAATGTTAGAACTTTCTGTGATTTAGGTTGTTTTTTTGATAGCCCAAAGTACATATATGAATAGTCAAATGCTTGCGACTTTTTGTTTACTTCTCACTAAAAACGTTTTTGTTAAAAACTGCACAGAAATAGCTTTATTAAGCTATTTTAAATAGCTTAATAAAGCTATATAGCTTTATAAAGCTATATAGCTTAATCAAGACATTGTGCTGGACCTGTTTAATATTGATATAACCCTATAATATATGTTGAGATTACAATATTAACACAAATTGGCGGATTCACAGTGAATATGTATACTGAAAGGAAAAAGAAACGCAGGGTAAACTTCTGAGCTAGGTGAATTAAACTTATTTTTCTTTCAATTTTTTTCAGTATTCCTATCTAACTTTTAAAATTATCTTTCAAAAAGGTATAACCAAATTCCTCACTTGATTTTGTCCAATAATTCTTGAGTTATTGAAGCTCATATGACGTTACCCCTGGGTCTCCAGAAGTGAAAATCGAACACTCTTGTATATAATCTTCTACGTCTCTCCTGCATATCTGTCATGAGCGTTGTTTCTCCTTTGCATGGAGCTAGTTCATCAGAGTGAGTATCTTTCAAACCCTGGATACATTGGACATGGGTAACCACGCCAAAAAATTAGTATGCGGCACGCGCATGCGCGAAGAGGAACACAATATTTTGACAATACAGTTACAGTATTTTCAAAAAAGTGTGTCTTTAGCAACAATTTTAAACAGTAAACAGATCTATACTTAACAGGCCGTATAATTCTTTTGAATTTCTTGATTTTGTATTTCTAAGTTAGCTTTTTACGGGCATTAGCCCTACCACGGTTGTCGCTCGGTCATCTCCGTAAACTTTGACTGGCCGAGAGCTTTCGGCAAACCTCGGCTGATTCCCATTCATTCTTCAAACAAGAAAGGGGAAAAGAATAATAACAAATTGTAAAGCCTGCAAGCAATAACTATCAAATTTTATTTATAATGAAATTAAAGAGACCTTTTTATTTATTGCTATAAAAAATATCATGTTATTAAGAAATAATTACTGCTGATTTTGTTGTTCGTTTTGTCATTTTTTTAAGATTGGAAATCTTGCAAAATTGTTAAGTCGTACAAAAAATAGATCATCGGAAAGTTATCTCCCTTGCCTTAAACAGCATTTCAACCAATGAAATAATTGAAAATTTTCTCATCATGCAATTTCTACCAATCACAAAAGAGAGGAAGTATATTTTTTGAATTAAAAAACTTCAACTATTAACCAACTTCCTTGGAAGACGGTAATAAAAAACAAAACAAATTGCAGAATTGTTTTCTTTCATTTCTTGTGTGAATATAATTGTAGTAGAGGTATTTTTATTTGAAATAATAAAAGTTGGAGTGATTTTAAATGATATAAAATAAATATTAAATATAAACTAAATAAACTATTAAATAAGTTATAAATGATAGTTTTCCGTTAAAGCTTTATTCTTTTCTTTCTTTACTAACTTGGGTATTTAGTGCTATAGTTATACACCCCCTTGGATCCACACCTGTACATACACTTTTATATGACCACACATACATATCTATTGGTCAGTTTTTGAAATACTTAGTTTTCATTGGTTAGTGTTTTGGTCTTTGTGGTGTAGTGAGTTTTATTCAGTTTAGACTCTAGAATTCTGATTTTGAATAGAGAAGATATAGTTTACTTCGTACTGACTTTAAATCTATTATTAAATTAATTCGATTCCTGAAATGTAAGTTTTTTACTTGTTTTATGCTACAAGATATGTTTTTCTATAATATTATGTTAAAAATGTGGAAAACAAGATATTTTACTTTTTAATGTTAACATATTGAGTTATCTGTCTATTTATTCAGATATTGATAAATCTGATGAAGTTTTCTTCAAGATCAATTTGTATATAAACCTGAAAATAGTTTGAAATGAAGATTTTGGTGATCAAGATAATATAAATAATTATATATTTTGAGAAAGGTATTTGTATAGAGCAAGTCCTTATTATTACATTTATTGTACATAGGTAACACCATAAAATAAAGAAATGTATATTTGAATTTGAGAAAGTTCAGTTCCATAAATTGGTATGTCTATCTGTATATATATTTTTATGATTTGTAAAGAAATATTTCCAAAGAAAGATAACTCTGATCACAAGAATTTTCTCTCTAATATATATAAGAGTTAACTCCCTTATATCATGTGTCGAGTATAAATTTCTTGTGTGTTGTCATAGTGAATATTGATAATTAATTGTAAAAGGGAAGACAGATAATTTGTTATATTTTATAATCGTAATATTTAATTGAAATAATATTTTGTACATATTTTTATGACGCAATTTGTATATTGCAGGACTTCCAATATTTCCATTCATTATTTCAATTATTGTCCGTATTAATCAACTAAGATGTCATCATAATAAACGTTAAAACTACAATTCAGTGTTTTCCATCATATGTGTTAAAAATGATTATAATTGTATACAACTTGAGGTGGTTTTTGTGGTACTAGGACTGCGATTTAAGGGACTGACCCTCACAACTGCAACAAATAAATTAATGTGAAAAAGCCTTTAAATGAAGCTTGAAAATTAAATCTGTGTTTGAAACAATTTTCATATATGCCTAATTGTGATTTATTAGAGAAAGGTCTAATTAAAAGTAGTTTTTATCCCGATTTTAAAGTATTTTTTCCAATATTAACATGAAATGAAAATAGAAGTAATTTATGTAGCTTTGCAAAGAACCTTGATAATCTTGAAAGGCAATGATGAAAATTGTTGCAAATATAAGTAATTTTCAACGATTATTTAAAGACTTTTTGAACAAAATTATAAATTAAAAAGTTGTCTGGCATATTTTCCATGATGCGCTAGCGCGCATCATAGAACCCGCTCGCAACATGATTCCTTTTCGCGTAACGCCATGTTCACGGTTGAATAAAACCATTCCATTTCTCTGAAATGTTGAGATTACAATATTAACACAAATAGAGCGGATTTATGGTGTATATGTATACTGAAAGGAAAAAGAAATCGCAATTTTACTTTATATATAGCTTTAATTAAACTATATATTTCTTTCAATTTTTTCATTTTGATCAAAATGCTAACTTTTAAAATTATCTTCATAAAAATAACCAAAATCCTCACTTTTTGATTTTGTATAAAACTGCTTATTTTCAATTTTTCTTTTAGAAAATTATTTATATTTTTACCAAATATGTACCTATTCAATACAAATTAGACGAAAAATTATGTAAGTTCCCTGCGCGCTCTATGTTTCCAGAAGTGAAAATCGAACAAGGCTATTTATTAATCTTTTTTCTCTCCTGCATATCTGTCATGAGCATTGTTTCTCCTGTCATTTACAGCTAGTTCATATAAATGTGAAAAATATATTGAAACCCTGGATATAATATCTTATACAAAATAGGTATACCAAAAAAATTATCTGAATGCGCGATTCACACAAATGTTGACAATTAAAAACCCGCTCGTAATATGACTCCTTTTCGCGTATATACTTCATCATATATAGTGAAAAAACAGCTTCTCTGACAACGTGATACAAGTTTTATGGGGGGGAAATGAGCAAATCGAAAATCAGACCCCATTGAACCTCTGTAAACTGTACCAAGATTGCATGAAATTCATATCGTCTCTAAATATTAAAAAACAATGTGTATACCTCAGGTGCATCAAATGGTGCATGCAACAACATTAATTTTGTTGACAAACTCGTCGTCATCAAATTGCACGTGTTTTGGGCTTTTATCGTTTTCCCCACTTAACGTCATACAATTTACGTTTGAGTAATTCTGATCACTGATTTTGATGCATATATAGTAACTAAATTTCTCATCTTTTCTCATCTGACAAATTTTCATAATTTTCTGTCATGCGGTCAAAAAGTTTTCGAATATTACACTATGCTACCCTGCCTTTCTTTTTCCTTTCAATATATTTATATCAGATTATGAGATATACTAATGAATAATCATTAAGTCCATTTTATTCTATGTAAAAGCAGTATACGTTGATATCAAGCAAAGAAAGGAAATTCAGTGCGGGGGGGGGGGGGGGGGGGCACGGCCCAACATAGTTCCCCTACCATCAGCCATTAAAACGGTTTACAAATGACTATCTATAGAAATTCCCACATATAAGTACTTTAATTTCCTAAAGGGTAAAAAGAAACAACGAAAGATAATACTAGATATTTTTACTATGGTGTCCGGATAGGGCCATTTGCGTTAGCGCGACATCGCGTTCAAATAAACGGGGCATCGCGCTAACACACAACACGCCGTCGCGCAAACGCAACTTTGCATAACACGCCGTTGCGCTAACACACAACAAGCCGTCACGCTAACGCAACTTTGCACAGCGTGCCGTCGCGCTTGTGTGTTAGAACTTTGCAAACACACACAAGTGCCGTCGCGCTAACACAACTTTGCTTGTGTGTTAGAACTTTGCACAACGCGCCGTCGCGCTAACACACAAGTAAAGTTGTGTTAGCGCGACGGCATGTTGTGTGTTAGCGCGACAGTGCGTTGTGCAAAATTGCGTTAGCGTGACAGCGTGTTGTGCAAAGTTATGTTAGCGCGACGGTGTGTTGTGTGTTAGCGCGACGGCCGTGTTGTGCAAAGTTGCGTTGGCGCGACGGCCTGTGTGTGTTAGCGCGACGGCGTGTTGTACAAAGTTGCGTTAGCTCGACGGCGTGTTGTGTATTAGCGCGATGTCTCGTTTATCTGAACGCGATGTCGTGCTAACGCAAATGGCCCTATCCGGACACCATATTTTACACTAAAAGTTATACATGTATTTTAAAATAATAACTTTCAGTAATAATTCTTGTATAAATACAAATACCAGGAAATGGTATCCAAGACCATTCTTAAGTTTATTCCTTTGTCATATGTGGCCCCTTTTTTCCCGCGTCAAAAATGCTACCGATATTATTTGCCTGCAAGGAAATGAAGAAATTAATTAAATGTTTTAATTGTTTTAAGGAGATACCCCTTCCTCTGATACACTCTTGGTCGTTACTCTTTTTAACAGTTTCGAAATTCCCAAATCCTCCAAATTTTGTTATTATTGTGAGATCTCCCTTTCCAAACTGATGTAATGTGCAACGTTGCCGAGCTTAATTGGTGTTTGGTGATAAGTCTTGTATCACCGAGGTGTTACACTAAGGTTCGTTAACCTGTTAACTCAGATTTTTGTTGACCAAATAAAATTACAATCAAATATATACAATAAAATAATACAATGGATCAACAGGTTTCTTCTTGATTGGATAACCACTAGCTGTGGTCAAGGGGTGTCTCCCACAAACAAATTTCTTCTTGTCCTGCTAATAAGATTTCACTGCCTCTAAGCACTTTCCCCACCTCTATTCGTGGTATGCCACCTCTCTAAATGTATACTGTCTTATTCAGGTCTTACGTTATGGCTTTTGTAATCCTCAGCTATGTGCCCTCCGCAACTGTTTGCCTTATTCAGATCTTACTACAATGTATACAACGACACACAGCTGAAATATGTAGCTAACACCGTCTCCAGAGAGGTTTCAATACACTTATACAGCGTGTATTACTTCAGAGCAGTTTTTTGTACATTGGCAGATTCATACTAATTACTAATTGTATGATCGTAAAATTAATACTTTTTAGTGTTTAAGACTTTAAACAGAAACGTAGGTCTAACATCAATACGAAACTAAACAACCATATCCGTTTTACTACCCTCCCCTCAAGATTTTATGCGTCCCGCATATGATTATTTATTTCCAATTTATTAACATCTATATTCAATTCTCTGTTATGCCTGACAACTTGTGACACTCTAATACAAGACGTAGTCTTCCATCCACTGTGGTTTCATAACCACAAAATCAGAATCATAAGTAGACAATCAGAATCATAAGTAGACTCTTTGTCTACATCTGCTTCAACTAGAGGTTGGGGACGTCCTCTGGTGCTGTTCTCTCATCATCAGGCGTTTCACCTTGCAACGTCTGAGGGTACCTACGACGCATTCTGTCGACATGAATGACTTGTGGTTTTCCAGCACACCCACGGTCAACGTTGTAGGTAAGATCTGTCATCTTTGAAAGCACCTTGTAAGGACCCCGCCAGTAACTGGTAAACGTTGGCGAGCGACCTGCCTTTCTAACTGGAAAGAATACATAAACTTGGCAGCCTGGCTAAAATTTCTGCAATGACAATTTTTGGTCGTGATACTTCTTTTGTCTAACCATTGCCGTTTTTATGTTCTCTCTGACATGTTTGTGTGCACTCTCCATGGTTTCTTTTAATTCCCAGGCCCACTTGTCTTTGGGAATGTGCTGCACTGATCTGGGCATCTCGAACATGATGTCAAGCGGTGTTGACACTTCTCGTCCCAACATCAGGTAATTGGGAGTGTAGCCAGTTGTCTTGTGAACGGAAGCCCTGTAAGCCATCATTACAAATGGTAGGTGTTTGTCCCAATCTGAATGATGGTCGTTCACGTAAGCGCTTAACATTGTTACTAGCGTCTTGTTAAAACGCTCCACCATTCCATCACTTTGTGGATGATAGGGGCTGGTCCGTGTTTTCTTAATTTTTAGAACCTGGCACATCTCTTCAAATAGCGCACTCTCATACTGTCGACCTTGGTCAGAGTAATAACTGATGGCACACCAAACCGGGCTTTTACTTCTTCAACAATAACCTTTGCCACTGTCTCAGTTGGAGTAATAACTGTCAGAGGTCAAATTGGGAACAACTCTAAACACTTCGGTCAATATCCGATGATTTTGCCAGCGACAATTTGATTGGTTGATAGATTTTGACCTCTGACGTGACCCTCTATGGGATGTTGTTAGATGTTAGTGGAGAAAGTATGCGAGCGGATCTAACATCTAATTTTAATTAGATTACCACTGTCTTGGCTTCCATGTTCGGCATAGGGAAAGACTCGGTCCATTTCGTAAAATAGTCCGATACCACCAATATGTATTTATTGCCATCGTCTGTCATTGGAAGTTCTCCCAAGATGTCCGTGGCAATCCTGTCCATGAGTAAATCACTCTCGACCAACTCCATGGGTGCCCTTCTCTTCATTTGAGGGCCCTTCCTTTTACAACATTACTCACAACCTGCTATGTACATTCTGGTGTCAGCTTGCAAACCAGGCCAATAGAACTTTTGCCTTATTCGAGCTAGTGTCTTGCTCACACCTAGATGTGCAGCTGTCCTCACACCATGACAGTATTTGAATATTGTCCGTCGTTGACTACTTGGAACAATAGCCTGAAAGCGTATGGTCTTTCCATCTTCCTCTTCAAATCTTTTGAAAAGAATGTCATTCTCAATACAAAGATTGTTCCACTGTGACCATAACGATCGTAATACATATCCTTGGCCACTGACCACACTGTACTCAGGTCTTGTCTTCTACTTGACCCAACGTTTGACAAGAGAGATGTCTTAATTTGTCTTGCATGTCTTTTATAGACAGCAATGGGTCGCCATCCTCGTCATTTGATTAACTGGCTTGGGATATAGCTCTCACTACTTCCGGCTTGTTACATTGCAATCCTTTCTCCCAGTTTGGATCGAAACCACACTGGCGACATGGCACACGACTCAATGCATCTGCATTGCTGTGTTGTGTACCTGGTCGGTTTTGTATCTCGAAATCGTATGTACGGAGGATTTCCAACCACCGTGCCAACTGTCCTTCTGAATTCTTTAATTTGAAAATCCACCTTAAGGAGTTATATGGTCTGTTCGGACTATGAACTTTTTACCATAGAGGTAATGCCTAAAGTGTTTGACAAAGTGGACCATCGCGAGCAATTCCTTTCGTCTAACGCAATATCTGCGCTCACACTTTGTCAAAGTCCGACTTGCATAAGCAACAACCCTCTCTTGACCATCAATCTTTTGTGATAGGACTGCGCCTATAGACACATTGCTGGCATATTCCGTATCTAAAATGAAGGGATGAGAGAAATCTGGATGCCTTAAAATTGGAGGGTTGGTCAGCTTATTTCGTAGGGTGTCAAATGCCTCTTGACATTCTTTTGACCAAACAAAGGCGCGCGACCTTTCTCTGTCAGTGTGTGTAGGCATTTTGTAATGCTTGAGAAATCCTTGATGAATCTCTTGTAAAAGCTGCATAGCCCAAGAAATGAGCGTACCTCAGTGGCATTAGTAGGTACTGGCCACTGTTTTACTGCAACTGTGTAATGCACTTACATTTATTCTAGAAGCATAATGAGAGCCTATCAATTGAAAACTTCATAAAATTCAGGCACGTAGCAACAGGGGGGGGGGGGGGCTGGCCCCCCTTTTTCCCCCAACATTATCTTTACTTTAGAAATTAGAAAATGTCCATTGAAGAGATGGTTGCACCCCCCCCCCCACTTTATAATCACCGTATATTCATAGCAAAGAAATATATGAAAAAATTGAAATTGAAAGGAAGTTGGCCTTTAAAAAGTTGGCCACTACCCCCACCCCCTACGAAACAGGATTTTCAAGTTTGGGCAATTTTTATTTTTTTTTCTTTTTATTTTTTGCTTGACAAATTTTTTAAGGTAAGTAAAAATAATTTTCTCAGGTTGCCCCCCCCCCCCCACTTTCAAAAACGATACTAAGTGACTGTGATTTCAAAGAATTCCATTGAAATACTTTATGATTTTCTACATACTAGTAATTCTATTAGAGGCATAAAAAAAATGAAAAAAAAAAATTCTTTGAAATGCAGTATCTAGCATTTGCTACACAACATGCATGCATGCCAGTTGCCAATCTCTCACCAGAGGGCGTTTTACGCTCATCGCTCCAACACGGTAAGCGGAGCGTGCCCTCTTGTGAGAGATTGGCCAGTTGCATGCATGTTCGAGAATAATTTTTGGGCCGAGTTAACAACAATGAAAAAAACATGGCGGCAGAATCGCCAAAACAGAAAAAGATCAGGCTACAAAACAGGTATGACAGGTCACCAGAATGGGAAACTGTCTTCAATTTAGCATCAACACAATTAGTTTATCCAGCGTTTGCTATTCTGCAACTTGGACCAGACTGTAATGCGAGTACGAGTGCCTTGTTTCCGGATGTCAGGTGCGACTTCAGGAAAGTGGGCCCAGCAGGGAGCTCTTCTCTGTACATGATCGACTTCGACGATGTCTTCACAAAAGGGATCGATCTATTGCTGGACCTGAGAGATCAATCGCGGGAACTGAATGAGGACGAGCAAAGAGCGGTTGACATACTTAATAATTATTTTAAAGAGAAAGGTATAACAGGTTGGGACCACTCGCCCAAATGGGATATAATAGGCCGTTTGGGATAGAATATCCCAAATTGGCTATAAATTTACAGTGCAAAAAATGAAAATTTTTATTTTGGATTTAAATATCATAAATCCGCATCAGGGCACCTAAATCTGAATAACTTTTGGTAAGCAAGTTTTTAGCTCACCTGAGCCGAAGGCTCAAGTGAGCTTTTCTGATCACATTTTGTCCGTCGTCCGTCCGTCCGTCTGTCTGTCCGTCCGTCTGTAAACTTTTCACATTTTCAACTTCTTCTCAAGAACCACTGGGCCAATTTTGACCAAACTTGGTACAAAGCTTCCTTGGGTGGAGAGGAATTTAAATTGTTAAAATAAAGGGACATATCCCCTCGCAAGGGGAGATAATCAAGAAAAGACAAAAATAGGGTGGGGTCATTAAAAAATCTTCTTCTCAAGAACCACTGGGCCAGTAAAGCTGAAACTTATGTTAAAGCATCATGGGATAGTGTAGATTCTAAATTGTTCAAATCATGACCCCCCGGGGATGGGCAGGGCCACAATGGGGAATCAAAGTTTAATATAGAAATATATAGGAAAAATCTTTGAAAATCTTCTTCTCAAGAACCACTGGGCCAGAAAAGCTGAAACTTATATGGAAGCATCCTGGTATAGTGTAAATTCTAAATTGTTCAAATCATGACCCCCAGGGGAAAGGCGGGGTCATGATGGGGAATCAAAGTTTTACATAGAAATATATAGGAAAAATCTTTGAAAATCTTCTTCTCAAGAACCACTGGTCCAGAAAAGCTGTAACTTCTATGGAAGCATCATGGTATAGTGTAAATTCTAAATTGTTCAAATAATGACCCCCGGGGGAAGGGCGAGGCCATGATGGGAAATCAAAGTTTTACATAGAAATATATAGGAAAAATCTTTGAAAATCTTCTTCTCAAGAACCACTGAGCCAGAAAAGCTGAAACTTATGTGGAAGCATCCTGGTATAATGTAGATTCTAAATTGTTCAAATAATGACCCCTGGGGGAAGGATGGGGCCACAATGGGGAATCAAAGTTTTACATAGAAATGTATAGGAAAAATCTTTGAAAATCTTAATCTCAAGAACCACTGGGCCAGAAAAGCTGAAACTTATATGGAAGCATCCTGGTATAGTGTAAATTCTAAAAGATTCAAATCATGACCCCCGGGAGAAGGGCGGGGCCAAATGGGGAATCAAAGTTTTACATAGAAATATATAGGAAAAATCTTTGAAAATCTTTTTCTCAAGAACAACTGAGCCAGAAAAGCTGAAACTTATGTGGAAGCATCCTGGTATAGTGTAGATTCTAAATTGTTGAAATCATGACCCCAAGGGGAAGGGCGGGGCCACAATGCGGAATCAAAGTTTTATATAGAAATATATAGGAAAAATCTTTGAAAATTTTCTTCTCAAGAACCACTGGGCCAGAAAAAGTGAAGCTTATATGGAAGCATTCTGGGGTAGTATAAATTCTAAATTGTAGGAATCATGACCCCTGGGGGAAGGGTGGGGCCATTATAGGGAATCAAAGTTTTACATAGAAATATATAGGAAAAATCTTTGAGGATCTTATTCTCAGGAACCAATGGGCTAAAAAAGCTGAAACATATGTGCCCATGGAAGGATCATGGGGTAGTGTAGATTTCAAAATGTCTAAATTATGATCAGTGGGGTAGGGTGGGGATGCATTATGTATAACAAGGGTGAAATCTGGTAAAGAACAGAATGGTCAAAGCTTCTCAGGTGAGCGATGTGGCCCATGGGCCTCTTGTTATGCAATCCTATCAGGTCCAGCACAATACCCCGATAAAGTTATATAGCTTGATAAAGCTATATAGCTTTATCAAGGTATTTAAAATACCTTGATCAAGGTATTTTATGTAATGAAAATTCAAAAAAATTCTTTAAAAATTAATTACTGAAAGTCGAGTTCTGAGTTGTTGTTAGTAAATTCACCCATGCATGTAAAGTACTCAAACACAAACAAATCAGTATAAAAACGTGTCGTAAGAGGAGACATTATTTTATGCTTTCTTTTTGATACCAGAGTGTTTTTCATGCACGCATAGACACATTCACAAAAACACAGAACTCGACTTTCAGTAATTAATTTTTAAAGAATTTTTTTGAATTCCACCATTTTATCTGTTGATTTTTTTAAATGCAGTAAATCACATAGCCTCGTTTTTGAAAGTGTATGTATGGGGGGGGGGGAGTAGCCAGAGAATTTTTTTTTTACTTACCGGGAAAGTTGGCAAGGCAAAATAAAAGGGGGCGGGGTGAGAAAACTTGCTCAAAGTCGAAACTCCTAGAGGGGGGAGGCGAACTTTTTTCAATGCCAACTACATTCAGTACCAATTATTACAATATATTTTCCCTACATCCCTATTAGTGGGGGTGGGGGCAACCAGCCTTTCACTGAACATCTACTGAAGTTAAAGTAAGGCTGAAAAAAAAGGGGCAGGGGGGGGGGACTGCCCCCCCCCCCCCCCTTGTTGCTTCATACCAGAAATGCTTAATTGTTTGTGAAAACTTTATCGTCAAATCTCAAAAATAAAACAAAGATCCCCCACCACCCTTTAAAAGTTTGTAAATAATTACAGTTGCACTTCACATGTGCTCTTTAGAGCAATAAACATTCTATAACGTAAATTGAATTTTCAGTACTATTAAAGCATAGACGCATACTAGTAACTCCTAAGTCATATGTCTATGTAACAATGCAAATGGGAAAAATTAGTTGCAAATTTTATACATGTTAATAAATGTATTTCTTGCAAAGCA